CTCCATAGCCCGCATTTACGTGGTTTTTGTTTCGTGACGGTCAGCTTTACACGTGCCTTGCCAGAATGAAAAATGCTTTAATTACGCTGCAAATTTGGTCATTTACGGAGAGCGGTTGAGGTCCAGACGCCGCCATTTTTTATTCACGTCCATTCTGACCATAATACGCGAAGCGGCGGAAAGGGTTTACAGTATGTCGCTGTTGCGTTATCGCTGACGCCATGACGATCGGACCGTGATTAGGCCAATTTATCTACTTCAGCCGCTTAGCTGTGATTGGTCTATCGTTATATGACGGACTGGCACGGAGGGAAGCTTACTGACCCAGCCACGCCAGTCTTATTGTTCTGGTCACCGTAGTATACTGTTCTCTTGTTGTAGCTAATCTGTTCAACAATGGCATCCGCCGGACCTCTACCACCCAGAAAAACCTCGACGCATTCTGGACCGAGCCACTCTAAGCCCAAGAAGATACGACGTGCTCCTAAGTTACAGAGTTAAGTATCAGATCGTGCAAGATTTAGAGAAAGGAACGACAAGTTGATTTGGCGCCAGCATGGCGTGAACGACCCACATCCGATTTATCAAGAAGGATGCTGCCAAGATTAAAGAACACATGAGCATCACAAAGTTTGCAGGTGCTTCAATGGTGAAGTATTGTCAGAATATGCTGCTCAAGACTGAGAACTTACTGGTGAGCTACGAATTCACAGCAAGACTGAACATGGTGGCTCTACACGCAGGCAGCAGGACTACGCTTTTGTGAACTGTACTACTGAAGTAGCAAGATGGGGAATTGCAGAGCCCAAACTCCTACTGCTTCCTGGTGGCTGCAAGGGTTTAAGAAAATCGAATAAGATCACCAACATTAACATTGTTGGTGAAGGAGCCAGTGCTGACTGCGGTTGCCGCCATGGATTTTTCCTCCATTCGACGCAGAAGTTATGAAGGAGGACAGTACACCAGCAACCAGGTGTTCAACATGATGAATCCGGGTCTGTTTTGAAAAAATACTTTCCAAGAGCTTTGTTGTCAAGTTCACAGCAAGCGTCAGGGTCGAAATTGCAGAAGGATCAAGATCATTCTGTTTACCACCAATGCCTCCCGTACCTGAAGCTCAAGTTGTCGGTGATCCACAGAGTCCGTGAAGCCGCAAGCCTACAAGAACATGGACATGACCAAGCTAACTGTCCACTGGCTAACCTCACGAAGGCGTGATATATTCACTGGTCTGTCCTCTTCTGGTTTGACGATCGTTTCAAGCACGACGGAAGAAATTCTGTTCGCAAAAATAATGCAGCTATCTAACATTTTGTTGTTGTTGACAACGCACCATGACACTCGCCCCTACTGTTAGATCGCTACCCCAGTGTAAAAGTGGCCTTCCTTCCTCCCAACACTACGCCGTTAATCCAGCCTTATGGACCAGGAGTTGATATGCAACGCTATGCTGCATTCTTTAAAGAAGTTTAAGCTCCTGAACGACTGTACCAACACTAAGGATGAGTTAAGTGTGAATCTTCTGAGTGGCATGATAGCGTAGAGCGCATTTACAACGAGGATGCAGAACAAGAGTTGGCGGAGTATGAAGTGAAGTTAAACAGTTTTGGAAATTGCTTAACGAAGCAAAGCTGTTGATTTCTTTTGGTGGCATGGGGGAACTGTCTGTAAGCAACGATTCGTCACGCCGGGTAAGTGCATGTGTTGCAGGGTATCCCAGTGTGGGCAGAGTCAACCTGTGGCTGGTGAGGTCTAGTCTGTTGCAGTAGCAGGACCTTGCAAGAGAAGCCGCACAGAGTGTTACAGTTGCAGTATTTCTCCGCTGAGACCAATACCAACGACGACATCATGGAGGTAACTGAAATCCTGAGGTGACTGCCGACGAGATGTTGGAAGACGATGACGTCAGTGAGGAGGCAGGTGAGGCAGCAAGAGAACAGAAGTTAACTTATGATGATGTAAAGGATGCCATCGAGTTTGCTGGAGAAAACTAAAGCTCACCTTCTTTCAAAAGACCATGTCAATCACCGGTATGAAGTCTTCAATAACCTTCTAGACCAAAGTATGGAGTCAGTACATCCAGATGTATCATGACCACATCAACACTCCAGCTGTCAGAAAAGCACCACTTTCTGCCCGCAACCTACCACAGCCAGCCCAAGCCAGTGATAATGACAGTGATGGTGACTTTGAGGGCTTGTTAGGAGGCCCTGACAACTATGGTGGATAGTGATGGTGATTTCACCTGAGGGGGCTACTAATCTGCCCTCTGCTAAACGCAATCAACCAGCCCCCCATCCTCGTGATGTCGACTCCATCTTCTACTAACGTAAGTGTTAAACCTTGATTTTCTTTTTACCTGGTACAGTATATTATTCTCTTTACTGATATTTCTCTTCAATATTATGTGTGTGTGCATACCATCATAAAATTAAGATACTATTTATACTAAAATGCAATGAATTGTTTCGGAAAAAGTGGTGTTTGGGGGTCGCCCAGTCTTCTATTTCCAATTAATCCCATATGTTCTATTATTTCATTTACGCTTTCGCTTTTTTACGCGGGTCTCCACGGGATCAATTGACCGCAGAATGCAGACTATACTGTATACTTATAACAATCTCCCTAAAAATACATTAGGTTTCGTGTTTATTCAAGACATCTTCAGGTCATGAGACCCACTAATCCCACCAAGAAAGGGTGACCTGACATGCCATCAGAAGGTCAGTAATATGAGACCATTAATCCCTCACCCTACCTCCACCTGACATTGAGTCAGGTCGGGTCCCCGAAAAATATTTTAATTTTTCATCTTTATTGAAGACATTTTCAACCTCGGAAAATTTGTTCCCAGAGCCAGAAAATTTTGGAAAATTCCGACTTTGGGAATGATTTTCCGAGCAAATTTCAATTCCGGCTATCGAAGATTTCCGGGTTTGAGGGATTCCGGCTAACGAAGATATTACTGTATATTATGGAATTGTTGTGACCAATATAAAGTGAAAAGAGTAAGGAATTGTACAGTGGTAGTGTGCTGACTATATATTTGAAGTGTGAAGTCCAGCTGTGAAACAATTACCCTGTGAACAGTGTTGTGAAGAATTAGTGACTATTAAAGGTGACTACAGTGTACAAGTGTGTTTCTGTGACCTGGTAGAAATCGACCTGCCCATTGTCTGTCTGTACATTGATACCGATCGTCAGGAAATTACCGGAGATTAGAGGGACAGCCAGTGGTAATTCAACAACACTTGTGAGATATCTACTGCTTCTGTATATATGACCCTGGCTGGTGGTAACCAGTGGTAGAAGCTTGGTAAGTGGTGAAAGGAGGGTCGTAAAATGTTTTTTTTCCTATAGTGTTTAATATTTTATATTATCAATGATAAAACATACACTAGCCAGCATCCCTCCCTCCCTCACTGCCTACCTCCCTCCCTCCAACTCACAGTGTCTAACACAAGACTTTAAACTCTAGATGTTGTGTGTGTGATGTTGTGGTGTTGGGGTATTAATGTGTATAATAACCAGCCTAAGGTTAAAAATGCTTTGAAAGCATATGAGCTGGATGTAGGGTAGATGATTAGTGGGTCTCATGTTTTTGACCTGACCTGTTGTTATGTCACCCATTTTTGTAAAGCTCTTCTTTTGTTAGTAGTGGAGGTGGTGTGTGGAATAGTGGATCCAACTTTAATGACTTAACCTGATGTTATGTAAGGTCACCCATTGTATATAAGCCTCTCTCAGTCAATGAGAGTGAAAATTAACAGAAATTCCTTCTGCTAAATTGAGAGTTCATTATATCGGATTCTGTTAAATCGAGAGTGTACTGTATGTCCAGAAATAGTGAAAGTTCTGTTTTTACAATAAGTGCTAATCTCAGATAATTTTTTTAGACATTTACCATAAATAACTTTTGGGGCCTGTGGCCTCTCGAGTCTGCTATCACTTGTTGACCGAATCTACCCTAATCCAAAGACAATAGGCCTAATTCTCTGGCAGATAAATTGGTCGTCGTATCACTTTCCTTACCTTCTACCCTTGGTGACTTGAAACTGTCCACCATGCACATAGAAGCAACATCAAATATTGAGTTATTTTGTATATACGTAGAATTAAACTGTCTGAAAGATGCCACATTTTGTTTTTTGTATCACCATCAGTTTCATCTGTGCAGTGGGTGGGAAGGGGGATAATCACTGTTTGGTACCCCGTACATCATGCACTTCAACCACTCTTTGACCATGTTTAATCTCTTTCTTTCTCAAAAAGCAAAAAAACCTTCTAAGATGTGAAATTCACCACTCTTTATTGTCTTTATATATGAAAACTATATGCCATTCACATGAACTTGGAAAGTAGTGCCTAAAGCAGATTTAATTAATGCAGATGACTGGCTAAAATTAGCATGTGAAACGCATAAATAACATAAATAACTTAAAGTGAAAAAAAACTTAAAACGATCAGTGGCATATCCTGTTATTTCACCATCCTGCACATATTCAGCCAGCATGACTCGACCATTCACAAGCCTGCTTTGATTTGGTCCAGTTGTGAGCTTGAGGTGAACACAGTATTAGGTAGAAAGAACATTAGTAGGGTCATCACATCAAATTTTCCACCTATTGTCACCACTTTCTTTTTTGTTTCAAGATCTTGAATTTTCTGCATCTGAACCCAAGAACAACAACCTTCATACTTCATACTCTGAATGGACAGAGTACTGTTGGAACACATCAGAATCCTAGCCAGGACAGTGCTCCAGTGAAAGGGATCAATGGTGTTTTGTTTTGTTGAATCATGTTAACTATAAAAATCCTCCTAAGAATGCTATGTAAACTTTGTTCACAATTTGCTGGAGTTTATATTTCTACTTAAAATCTAGTAAATTATAGTTATAAAAACTAATATAGGTTAACAATACAGTACAAACAACCACTCACTAAAATGTGACAATGTAAAAATGTCTTGAACTTCCATAACAGGAAAAATCACATTACCTGTGTAAGATCTCCAGGATGGTTGGATAGTAAGTGTACAAGAGCAAGGGATGAACATAGTGTCACCATCCGTCCCATGTAGGAGTTATGTGCTCTGCCCCGACCAATGTGGAATGTGCTGATCAGCCTGTTAATGCAAATTTACAATTAAGAAATTACAAAATAATAAAAAAGAGAAATTAAATACCTACAGCTTATGTTAAAGAATGTGCATAACTTCATATATACATGGGGTCCTTGACTTAAAGCCCTACGAACAAGGTAAAACTTGAAATTTACTGTACTGTATTTTATTTACCTGATGACTTAATTTTTACCTTCATTTACTGTACAGTAGGGTTAGGGATATATAGCGACTTCATATAACGAGTTTTTTATATGGCGGCTGCCAAATTTATCAACATTTTCCTATATACAGTCATGCACCGGTTAACGTCGTCGCTATATCGTGTGTGTCTAACCCTCCCCCAAAAACAAAAAAAAACACACATGACGCCTGGGTTGACCACCACTCCATCTACCCCTGACGGAGACATCGAAGTGATCTCCTGATACTGTCAGATGACAGGTGTTAAAAGGAATATGCTTCCTGCCTGCTTTCAAGACGGCCCACAGGTGAAATGTTAACCACATCTATTATGATAAAATCTTTTCACCTGCTAAATTGACAACACATTTTGCTGTAATCAGACATATCTAGCGTTTCAACACTGTGTGCTGCAATTAGCAACTTCAAAATCTGTGCATTACTAAAAATAGTAAAGCTGTGCACTCCAAAGATTAAGAGAGGAAAACGAGGACTCCAGGCCCTGATGAGAGGAAAATGGACTCATGACGGGGGACCAAATAAAAAGCATAGCTACAATGCTTTAGACTACAGTATAAGCGCATTCTTTTCATCACTTTGTACAAAACCTAGGCATGCCTATGTGTGCTTATGATATTTACTTTTATAAGATTATATATATATATATTTAGTGGGTCTTAAATGGTCGTAAAATGGGAAACTTGGGGGTTAAATTTCGGGTGCCTGAACCAATTAGAATAAACTTATAGGTTCTGTAATTTTCAAGTATCGGCGGGTCACAATTAGGCGCGTGATAACCAAGGATGACTGTATACTTCAGACACTAGCCAGTTGCTTCTGTGTTATGGTACAGGAGTACCAAGTGATGTTAATTCAGGATCCCGCTTCTTTCTATCAAGGAATAAACAATTAAAATTTAAATTAAAAAAAAACATCTCAAATAAATTATTATCTTACAAGAATCCTCCAATGTGTTATATTCACCCAGGTCGTTTGGATGGAAAATTATGAGAAGAGCGAATACTCTTAAGTAATGAACAATAAAACACGAGGCAGGCCTTCAGCGCCCAACTGTCAAATCTTTATCTCAAATAAATAAATAAACAAACAAACGCCAGACATTCTGCTCCCTCTTCCTACCACCTCGTGTTCAAGACAAAAGATTGGCATTTCTTTTTATGTTTATTTTAGAGTATAATATCTCTTGTAATTAAAGTTATGATAATATAATTTGCATTGCTGGAAATCCTTGCAACACAGAGGATTAATTCTTGAATATAAGCAAGGCCATATATTATGCTCAAGATATAAACAATGTAGTACATTAGTGTACACGTAATTCTTATAAAAAAGCTAACTCAGCTTTTTGGGTAGATTTACACAAATTTCTTCTATTTTATGCCACCCATTTACATTCACACACCATACTAAAATAGAACCAAAATAAAATTAGTGCAAAGCTGGACTGCACATACCAATTTTGATTACGTGTAATTAAAATTGTTGTGTCTAGTGCTAATTACACTATGTTTTATTCAAATGAAAGTATCTTACAAGAATCCCAGCTATGTTAATTTTTTATTCTCCTAGGTCATATCACTGGCATTTTAAAATGAGACCTTCACCTCAAACTTATCACCTCAACCCCCCCAACCCCTCGCTGGGTGGCGGAGCCATCAGTCCCTCCCCCCAGCCAGGCTTTTAGGCTTACAGTTTTTATCTTATATAATATCTCAGACTAAAGTTAGGAGATTATAATTTGCATTGCTGGAATCCTTGCAAGACAGCCAATAATTTGAATATAAACGTCATATATTTTCCTCAAGAGATAAAAATTGTTGCACAATAGTGTACAGTACTGTAGTACATTTTATAAAAAAGTTTTTCAAATGTATTTTTGGGTAGATTTACATAGATTTCTTAGTGCAAAGCTGGAGTGCACATGCACTAATTTGATTACGGTACTAAAATTGTTTTGTCCAGTGCAAATTATAGCATGTTTATATTCAAATTAATCAGTATGTTACAAGAATCCCAGCTATGTTAATTATATTCACCCAGGTCATTTCACTGGCTTTTTATAAGAGAGAAGCTTAGTCACCTAAGAACTGATAAATATACACGCGTTAGACCTGGACCTGTGCCAACTGTCAAACGTACTACCTCCCCTCCCCCCACGCCCCCTCGCACCCTCTCTCTCCCCCATCTGCTGGCGTTGCTGGAATCCATGTAAAACAGTGAATAATTTTAATATAAACGTCATGTATTTTGCACAACAGATAAAAATTAATCACCTGTATCACATTACAGTAGTGATTTAAAAGTGAAAGTGTATTTGTACGTATATAGTATTCCACATACAGTACACGTAAATATAAATAAAAAGTTTATGTAATGATCGGACAACGTACATTTCGGTTAACGTCACGTTTCCAAGAACGTATCTAGGACGTTAACCGGCGCATGACTGTATAGCGATATTTTTATATTGTATATATTTTTCTTTTGCGAGGGAAATCGGGCAGGAAATATTTCAAATTCATCACTACTACAGGTACCCAAATTATCAAAATTTTCCAATATATAGCGATAAATTTATTTACAGTAGACTCAAAACTTACGTGAGGTTATGTTCCTGGGACCTTACATAAAACCCAAAACCGTATAAATCACCAATCTGACTCCTCGCCAATCTTGTATGGTGTCCTCCAAGGTTCCATTCTCGGTCCAGTACTGTTTTTGTTGTACATAAACGACAAAGTCCACGCTAGCACACTCATAAAATACAACTTATTTGTAGACGATAGCAATGTCTATGCCAGCAACTCAGACCTCCATTCCTTGATGAGAACTATGAACACTGAATTGACTAAAGTCAGGACCTGGTAAATATGTAATAAACTGACCTTAAACCTTGAGAAAACCCACTACACGATCTTTCACAGAAGGAAAAACTTACCCCCAGACTTGGACCCCTGTACCTTGGTAATACAGTCCTGAAACGCGAACAAAATACTAAATTCCTCGGTGTTATTGTTGATGACAAACTTAACTGGAGAAACCACATCCAAGCCATTCACAGTTAAGTCAATAAACAGTGAGGTATCATGTATCACACTCGACAGTCACTCACTCTCACAGCAATGAAAGAAGTCTATCATGATCTTGTTTACCAACACCTGATACACTGTCACACACTATGGGGGGCCTCTGGCTCTTCAAAAACACAATCCCTGGTTACTGCACAAAAGAGAGTTGCACGGACAATGACCTACTTGAAAAAAAAACAGATCGCACAAACGAAAAATTTGCTAAACTGAAAATGTTAAAATTCGAAGATATTAACTCCTACTGCTGTGCCCTCTTTGTTTACAAATCTATCAATCACTTGCTTGACAATAATTACTTCCAGTCCCGAAATAATCAGAGATACAACTTAAGGCACCCAGAGCTACTAAGACCACCCCCCCATGCGGTCCTCTCAGTCCCAGACCTCCATAAAATATCACGGTGTGAAGGTGCGGAACAACTTACCCCCACCCATCCAAGCAAAGACTACGCTCCCTTCCTTTAAATCATCTCTTAAAAAATATCTATTGTCTAAGTATTAATATTTCTTGTAATACCTGCTATATTTACAGTACCTGCTTTTATTGTACAGGTACCATCAAAACCATTTTATTGGAAATTATCATGTAAATAAATAAGAAATTACCATTGCAATAAACATATTTGCCAACTAGACATAATCCTGACAGCTCTGTCCTCTTGCTTAACCTTAATACTGTACAACCCATGTTGTACTGCTCCCCCATTATACTTATGTTTTTCAATTCCACTGTAATTTATGTATACAGGTGCTCCTCTACTTATGATTGAGTTATGTTCCTGAGGCTTGTTTGTAAGTCCAACTTCACTCTTGTAGATACCAAATATATTGTAAAAAATGAAAAGATTATGGATATTTAGTACAGCTATACCCTTTAATACAGCCTTCAAACCTGGCTCACTCTTCTCCTCTTAGGTAATGTTTGTTCTCTCTGGAATTTTCTTCAAAATAATCCAGTCTCATCCACATTAAACACCTGTTCTGGCAGGTAACCCCCCTCAGTGATGATGTGTGTATCTATGAAAGTTTGTAAGTTGAACGTTCTTAAGTAGAGGAGCACCTGTATACTTATAATAATAATAAAAAATTAAATAAAAAATAAATAATAAATAAATAATAATAAATAAATACAATAAATATACAGTAGTACCCCGCTTAACGCGGTCAATTGAACCCACAGGGTACCGTGTTAAGTGAAAACAGCGTTAAGTGAACAACAGAACATATGGGATTAATTCCAATAGAGACTGGCCTGACCCCCAAACTCTACTTTTTCGGACACAATACCTATGTTCTAGTAAAAATAACATCTTAATTTTATGATGGTACATGCACACAATTAATACTTAAGAGAAATAGAGAAATACAGTCGCCAAGTTAATGTCCATTCAAATAATGGACTCAACTCCCTCCCCCTCTTCTCACACTACACTGCTGGCTCTTCCCTCTCTGAGAAATTTTGGGGGGAAAACCACTGGATTTTAATAAATAATACCTCAAACTAAAGTTCGGATAATATAATTGACATTGCTGGATTCCTTGTAAGACCAGGAATATTTTGAATACAAATGTCATATATTTTGCAAAAAAGATAACATATTTATTCAGAGTAAACATTATATCTAAAATTTGTATGTCTAATGCAAAATCTATGATGCTTATATTCAAAATGATCATCAAATTGTAAGAATTCCAACAATGTAAATTTTATGAGCTAAATAAAAAAAATAAAAAATTATACTTCATGCGTATATGGGTAGATGAACCGCGGAAAGTGAAAGTTCGGTTCTGGCGAGGCACCGCGTATATGAGAAATCGCGTAAAGTGAGACCGCGTAAAGTGAGACCGCGTAAAGCGGGGTAATACTGTATATGTATATATATATATATATATATATATATATATATATATATATATATATATATATATATATATATATATATATATATATTTATATATATATATATATATATATATATATATATATATATATATATATATATATATATATATATATATATATATATATATATATATATATATATATATATATATATATATATATTATTCGCTGTCTTACAAGGATTCCAGCAATGCAATTTATATTCTGCTAACTTAAGTCTGTGATATTTTATAAGATAAAAACTTTAAGCCCAAAACCACTTTCAATCTTGCCGAAGTGGAAGGAGGAGGTGTTGTATTATGACAGCTGGGTCGGGAGCACGGACAATGGTAGCCTAATGGTATTTATTTATCTGTCATATAGGGGGAGTTTAAGTTTTTCTGTTATAAAATGTCAAAGAATTGACTTAAAAAAATTTAATTAATATTGTTGGAATACTTGTAAGATAGTGATTAATTTGAATGTAAACATGCTATAGTTTGCAATAGACATAAATATTTTAGTACTAATTAGTACATTTGAATGCATATGACTAAATTTTTTATCTCTTTGTGCAAAATATATGATGTCTATATTCAAATTATTTGCAGTCTTGCAAGGATTCCAGCAATGCAATTTATATTCTGCTAACTTCAGACTGCCATTTTATGTCAAGTTTAGTCACTTTTATTGGCCTCCAGAACCTAACCCTATTTTCCCCATTGATTACATGTAATTATATATCACGATTTAGTATACCTGTATAGCAAACATTGTTGGCCCCTATCTCAAAATATATCCCGACCCTACTGTATTTTGTCATTGTATTTCTTCTTTTGTCTTAATTTAAGTGATTTTAGTTGTATAATAAGGACTTTGGTTTTGATAAAGTGGGATTTAAAAATTTTTTTCTGTAAGTACGACATGCACATGGCATGTGTTACTACTTGCATACAAATCCGACTTAAGAACGTCCTCAGGAATGGAACCCTTTCGTAACCTGGGGACCCCTGTATATTCTTTGTAAAGAGGCTTTTACAAATATACAGTATGTAGCATAAACTAAATGTTAAGATTATTTAATGTACTCTATTAATATACTTCATGTAAAGCTGGTGTGTGAATCAACACTAAATTTATAATGACTAAAATATCAAGAATGTTTGTAGTGTCCATCACTTTTGTATTAATCAAAATTCCCCAAATTCATTACTTTTTACTGTTCTACACTCTCCATTAGATAGAGTAGAAACCTTGTACAGTCCTAGGTGCATATTTCCCAAATGTATACGCCCTCAACCAGTCAGCGGTACAAAATCACGGCCCACCTTGCACTCTAGTACAGCCATTCGAACTCTGGTACTTTCATTTCTCAATAAATACTGGGAAAGGCTGTCATTGTTTTGTTTAATAAATACACAAAACTATTTACTCAATCAAGTTTTACATTATTTTATATTATAAGGTTACTTTATTATTAGATAATCATGCAAAAATGGAGCATGTATGTCTTGGTAGCTCGGAGTTCATAAAGATAATATCAGTATCCTCCAAGCTGTATTGTGCCTTAGAATGTAATCAGTATACTAAGCATGAATATGAGGAATAATATGGTTCAAAAGAGCCCGCTTTATCACCCTCCGTGATAATGGACATATCAAAGGGTCTACTGCATGTGACCTTAGCTTGATCCCTACAATTGATGACATGAAGGGAGTATGACTGACATATGAGTGACCCAATTAATATAAAAGTGTGTCACAACAAGAAGTAGGTCACAACACCATTGATTAGGGTTGGAGGGGAAAATAAAATAAAATCAGCATGACTATATCTTATTAGTTATACATATTTCGGTAACCATAAATTTTGCCCAGTTAATGTTATATACACTCAGTTCTTTGCAAATATTTACAGTTAAAAAAGGTAAAACAATGATTCAAACAATATGTTCTTTAGACTATAAAAGCTATGCATAACACATATTGTCTGTCACCCAAATTATCCATTCAGTAGCCAGTCCAGCTGCCCTGCTCTTTAATGACAGCCTGTAACCTGTACGGCATAGATGGTCTCACACCAATTCTGGTCAACCCCATTAATTTTCCACTGTCTGTTAATGTGTACCCTATCACTAACAATCTTTCCATTTCAATTAATAGTCCACTTTTATGTTTTGTTCAAGAATTTTCTGTATATCTGTCAAAATTGTTCTGGCCATTGACTTTCTGAAGTCCAACGCTTTACCAATGACGGAGGATGTTTGGCCTTTTTTGGAACGTTTAACGGTAATTACATCATTTTTTCCTTTTCTTGGATGCACTACTATCACTTGCATCAGGTTTGCATTTGGGAGCCATGATGAGGGCAGAAAGAGTTAATAAGCAAACAAAAAACTACAGTTTGCACTTGATCATGCACATTACTGCGGTGAGGGTAAAGCATACTAATGCTCCCTCAAGGCATGTGGCTGGCGATGTATCACTTCCCATCTGACGTTCAGCCATGTCTTGCAAACTAGTTCTCATATGTTAATACTACGAACCCTGTTGTACCTGTCGCATTCTTAAAATAATTGGCCTTATGGGACCTCGTTCATATCGGAGGATGTTCGTAAGTTTGACGTTTGTAAGTTGGGGACCCCCTGTAGTGAATACTTAGTCTTATGGAGAAAATTAGGATGTGTTCCACAACTACTAAAAGTCAACAGTAATGCTATAAAAGTTATAGAAAAATAATTAAAATACAGTACAGTACTCTAATGTGGCTTAGAAATAAAGATAAGATAATATAATATAAAACTAGTGCACCATATCTTCTACAGAATTCATAATAGGGAATATTTTATGCATAAAATGAATTATGGATAAAAATAGGGTCGCCACATAAACGCAAATTCACATACAGGTAGTTCTGCTATAACGCGATAATTGTGTTCTTGTAAAATATCGTGTTATAGAAAATCGCGTAATAGAAATAACAGGGCTTATGGAGAAAATAGGGTTAGGTGCAGATTACTCGAAATCGAAAAAATTTAGTAGTTAGCCTAACACAAAGGATAGCACAGTCTAAATAAATGTTACATTCATATCTAATAATGAAATCATACAGTAAATGTAACACTTTACCTTGAAAAAATATGAATGTAACTTGATGGGGGAGAAGGGTGATTTTGAGGTTGATAACATCGAGCTTCTCTTCAAGTGTTATATCCTTTCTTTTACGATCATCACCGGGAATTCTATCACCAGAACGCTTCTTGGAGATATTCTTCTTTACCATATTCACAATTAATACCACAAAATTGGAGAAATGTAAGCAAAAATCGCGTTATAGCAAACAAGCGTTCGCGTTATACAAATATCGTTCCTAATTCATAAATCGCGTTAGAGCAAATTCGCGTTATCAAAACACGCGTTATAGCAGAACTCACTGTACAGTGAATGTGCATAAAGCGAAGGTCCAGTGTAATTTGCATGTCTCTTGAGTAAGGCATGTGGTCATAAAATTATAATTTTGTTGTATCAATATATTTATCACAATTTACCTAATCAAACTTGATACAAGTTGATGTGCTAGATCTTCTCCAGGCCACCCTAATGCTGTGACATAAACCAGGCATTCCAATGAACATCCAAGCACAGCTGTAATAAAAAAAACAACTTAGGTATGGTCCTCATGGTCAGAGAGACACACACACTACTGTGAACAGGAAAACATAAGCAAAAAAATATTATTATTGGACAATAAGTATTTATCTTTACTGGTGAGAATAACTGAGAATATTGTGCAACTTTGACAAAATAAATAAATTGACAAATTATTAGATAAAAATTCAAGATAATAACCTAGATTATAGTACTGAAGGTCATTATTGGCACTAAGGAGTGGGAGGAGACTAGTTGTTATGCTTGTTGCTAATTGATTCCATGAAGAACTGCCAAAGATATCCTGACAGTTGACATTGCAACAAACAAACTTTAATGTCTGACACATGAGATTGGTGGCGGCACGAAACAAACGGATAGACATCAGGGCTCGAGGGTTAGGGTCACTGGCCACCCAGTTAACACCACCTGAAAAATAATGTTCATTATCAATTTGTAAGCTCTAAACCACAATTTTTTTCACCATAACTCAATACAGTATGTACATAATATTTAAAGCCTCCTAATTTGGAGTATAGTACCATAAAAAGAGCTCTATTCTTGCTAATATAAAGCAACTTTATGAATCCATATACACTGGAGCATAAAGTGACATGGCATATATGATGACCCCTAAATTTTAAATTTAAGTTTTGGCCTATACTTACCATATAAACCAGTATAACAAATGAAGCTTAGTCATATGGTGCAGGTTGTCACCATGGGTGACCTAAAGGAAAATATCTACCATTACAGAAGAAAATATCTTTCTTAATTCAAGAATAAAGCACATTGGGTCAAATAATACAGTAACAGTTTTCCTAATCGAGTTTTTCTCTTAAGATAAAGTATAGATGCCACAATGGTGCCAGGTGTGTACCCAGTAGTCTGAACACTTCATACACAATAATACCATAATACTGGACCAAAACCAAGACACATTGGTTCCCAGATAACTCCAGAATAAAATACAGCACAGATAAACCTCTATTCATGATGTCCGAATCTACAATAAATCACATTAACGATGCTGATATTTTAAGACCACTCCCCTATTTGCGATGTAAAATAATTCACATTAACGACATTCATCATCCCACCAACTCGGAAGAGGAAACGCATCACCCACTTCAATTGTCACCTGAGGCATCATCTAACCGATCAATTGATTAAATGTGGTAATAACACCGAACACTGCCCCCTGACCATTTGGTGAACTACGACCAGACATTGTTTCTTCTTTGTTACAAGTGTGTCAGAAATGGAGCTCAATGTTTATCAGTCACCATCAGTGTTGTTTTTTGTTTTGTTTTTTTTACCTTACAGTGACAGGACATTCCTAAAGTTCACAATGTACTCTGTTTAAGTGACTGTGAAATGCTTTCCCTGCATTAGTGACTGTGAAGTGCTTTTGCTCTGATCCCCCACCCGACAATGGGTGACCTGACATTGCATCAGAAGGTCAGTAATATGAGACCAATAATCCCCAATCCCACCTCCACTGCAAATGAGAGGAGTTTACATACAATGGGTGGACCTAACATTGCATCAGGTCAGGTCAGGAGATTGGACAGTGTACATTATTTTGTTTATTTATAATATATTGTATGTGTAGAGTGGTGCTTGCATAAATAAATACAGCTTATACTACGGTGAGTCAGATTAAAAAACCAAGAGTTCGTCAAGAGAGTGATAATTTTGTCATGCATAATTGAAAGAGACCTCATCCTCCAAGTAGATCCTACGATTTTGAAAGGTTTTTTATTGAACAGTTCTTCAATCTGCATGAAAATGCATGAATACTGATTAATACTCCCCAGCTGACTCACCGAGGCACCACCAACACAGAAAAAGATGTTGATTGGACGTGTACTAAATAATATTGTACACTATGAGTAAATGTAGATTATTTAAAAAAATACCAGCCCAGGCTTTAAGTTCAACACACATTCAACAACAGAATTTTTTTTTTTTAATTTTAGGTAAAGTAATTCAAACAATGTTGACGGTAATCCTCCCGGGAAGAGAACAGAAGAAAAGCGCACATTGCATCATCCATGTCATATGCACACACACACACACCTGCTGCACTCCATCACCACCAGATGTACAGTGGAGTATGCTATAACGAATATAATTGGTTCTAGAACCTTGTTCGTTATAGCATTCGTTCGTTATAGGATTAATCCGTTCCAGGCCCCCAAATACAACCACTTAACACTGAAAAATATAATATAAAATTGTAAAAATTGTAAAAAAGTGCATAAATATGCATCTAAACCCCTGAAATAAAGAATATCATTAATATTTGTAATAAAAAAACAATAAATTAGAAAAAAAAAATTAAATAATGTTCGTTGTAGGAGTTTCGTTCGTTATAGCATTCTCAATTTTATAGGTAAAACCGTTAAGTTATAGCATACCCCACTGTATCCATTTTGTGAGCCATTACTTCTGCCATTAAGAGTTAAAAAAGATATCCCCACACATTTCAAAAAACAATTACGGGCTAGTGGAAAATAATTAGATTCGGCAGGCCTGCCAACAATTGCACAAGGTGTTCTTTGAAATTTTGTTTGTTTCACCTCACCATGTTGATGTCCATGCCCATAAACCTGTTCAATAATGTTACTGGAGAAATACAGCCATCTGGGTTTGGGAAGTCAAGACTCAAACTCTCACTTGTAACACAAGCTCCACCAAGTCTCAGTCTCCCTTATGATATTTTAAAATAAAAATGATAAAGTATAAAGTAGAGTAAATAACTTCATCTTAATACCTAGTTTTATTTCATTGCTCATCATAATAAATGGCTTCTCTCAATGATTTATTTTTTGTTATGTTACTGTGTTGTGAGGAGGAAGGAGAGAAAAATAAAGTGAGACGTTACCTTCGATATAACGTATCCTTTTATTCTCAAGTCAAAATACAAATTACAGTCATGCGCCGGTTAAAGTCCTAGATACGCTCTTGGAAACGTGACGTTAACCGAAATAGACGTTGTCCGATCATCACATAAACTTTTTATTTATACTTATGTGTATGTGGAATACTATATACGTACATATACACTTTTACTGTTAAATCACTACTGTAATGTGATACAGGTGATTAATTTTTATCTCTTGTGCAAAATACATGACGTTTATATTAAAATTATTCACTGTTTTACAAGGATTCCAGCAATGCCGAGCAGATGGGAGAGAGAGGGGGCGTGGGGGGAGGGGAGGTAGTACATTTGACAGTTGGCACAGGCCCAGGTCTAACGCGTGTATATTTATCAGTTCTTAGGTGACTAAGCTTCTCTCTTATAAAAAGCCAGTGAAATGACCTGGGTGAATATAATTAACATAGCTGGGATTCTTGTAACATACTGATTAATTTGAATATAAACATGCTATAATTTGCACTAGACAAAACAATTTTAGTACCGTAATCAAATTAGTACATGTGCACTCCAGCTTTGCACTAAGAAATCTATGTAAATCTACCCAAAAATACAGTTGAAAAACTTTTTTATAAAATGTACTACAGTACTGTACACTAATGTACAACAATTTTTATCTCTTGAGCAAAATATATGACGTTTATATTCAAATTATTGGCTGTCTTGCAAGGATTCCAGCAATGCAAATTATAATCTCCTAACTTTAGTCTGAGATATTATATAAGATAAAAACTGTAAGCCTAAAAGCCTGGCTGGGGGGAGGGACTGATGGCTCCGCCACCCAGCGAGGGGTTGGGGGGGTTGAGGTGATAAGTTTGAGGTGAAGGTCTCTGTGTGTTTATTTAACAGTCCTACTAAGCTTCTTTCCTTTTAAAATGCCAGTGATATGACCTAGGAAAATATAATTAACATAGCTGGGATTCTTGTAAGATACTGATTTATTTGAATATAAACATGTTGTAATTCGCACTAGACATAACAATTTTAGTACCGTAATCAAATTAGTACATGTGCACTCCAGCTTTGCACTAATGTCATTTACAGTATTTCTTTTACGTTTCTTTTAGTATGGTGTGTGCATGTAAATCTATGAAAATAAATGAAGAAATTTATGTAAATCTACCCAAAAATACAGTAGAAATTTTTGTTATAAAATGTACTACAGTACATTTTTTATATCTTGAGCAAAATATATGATGCTTATATTCAAATTATCCGCTGTCTTGCAAGGATTTCAGCAATGCAAATTATATTATCCTAACTTTAGTCTGAGATATTATATAAAATAAACATAAAGAAATCACCAATCTTTTATCTTGGAACACGAGGTGTGGTGGGAAGACCTGGGGGGGGCGGGGACAGAATGTCTGGCGTTTGTTTGTTTATTTATTTATTTATTTATTTGAGATAAGATTTGACAGTTGGCGCTGAAGGCCTGTCTGTGTGTTTATTGTTCATTACTTAAGAGTGACTAAGCTCTTCTCATAATTTTCCACCCAAACGACTTGGGTGAATATAACTTACATTGGAGGGATTCTTGTAAGATAGTAATTTATTTGAATGGTTTTTTTTTCAATTTAAATTTTAATTGTTTATTCCTTGATAGAGGAAGTGGGATGCTAGTGCTGTCACTTGGTACCCCTGTACCATAACACCAGAAGCAACTGGCCAGTGTCACAAGTATGTACAGTACAGTACAGTCATCCCTTGGTTATCGTGCCTAATTGGGACCCTGCCGATAACGAAAGTACAGAACCTATGGGATTTATTCTAATTGGTTCATTTACCCAAGACCCAACCCCAAGTTTCCCATTTTACGACCATTTAGACCCACTAAATATATATATATAATGTTATGGTAAATATCATAAACACACATAGGCATGGCTAGGTTTATTACAAAGTGATGAAAAGGGTACGCTTAATACTGTAGTCCACAAAACATGTAGCTATGCTTTTTTTATTTGGTCCCCCATCATACGAGTCCGTTTTCTCTCACATCAGGACGCCTGAGTCCTCCGTTTTCTCTCTTAATCTTAGAGTGCACCAGAAACTTTACTATTTTTAGTAATGCCACAGAATTTGAAATTGCAACCCCAATTGCAACTGGGGTTGCAATTGTTGAGGCAACTAGATATGTCTGATTACAGCAAATGTGTTATTGTCAATTTGTAGGTGAAAGATTTTATCCTCAATAGATGTAGGTTAACATTTCACCTGTAGGCAAATGCTTAAAAAAAGCCTAAGTAAGGAAGCATATTCCTTTAACACATAATATCTGACCAGTATGGGGAGGATCATCATGTCTCCGTCAGGGGGTCGTGGAGTGGTGGTCCAGCAGGCGTCACTTTTTTTTTTTTGGGGGCACGGACGTATATTAGTACAGTATACCCACATGAATTAATAACTCAGCCCCATCTTTCTTTATTATCTATGGAAGGTAAATTGTAGTCCCCTTGTAAGCAATCTGTAATGAAGGGGCTGTCTGGCTTTACTGCCTCTGCCAGAAATCTGATATTGTTCAAGAACCAATTTTCATTTTATTTCTCCATCATTAGTTAAATAGATAATACCATCTTGTACTAAAAATTCATAATACCTTTGTAAATGGTTCATTAGAAAAGTGACTTACCTGTTCTTTGTAAAGTATAGTGCAGGGCACTGTCTTGGTTCTTCAGTTCATTAAGCAACAGTTGCAAGATTTGTGGGTATACTGCTACCCCGCCCTTTAAAAATGGTCTGTATACCTGAAATTATACCTTCATTACATATCTAATATAATAAACAACACAAACAAAACATATACCAGGTTGACAATCTCTTATCCAAAATTCCGAAAACCAAAAGTTTTTTCGTGGAGCTAAACTTTTTTTTTTTTTTTTTTTTTTTAACAGGCCTTGTACAAAAACAATAATAATAATAATAATAATAATAATAATAATAATAAAAATAATAATAATAATAATAATAATAATAATAATAATAATACAGTGACCCCTCGTTTAACGAACACCTCGGTTAACGTAATTTCGATTAACGAACTGCCTTCCATAAGGATCTTCAATTCGGTTAACGAAATTCTTACGAACCGACCTCAACATGTTTTCGCTTGCACTGACCGGGCAACCAGCTTTAGTATCAGTCTGCCAATACATTAATCGGTTCTAGGGCTTAAATTCCTTACTATTTTAGTAAATATCAAAAAATTTATACTATTCAATAATTTTAAAAGTTTAATATTCAATTTTTTTAGTCATTTTAACAATTATTGAACATAATTGAAAGTAAAGTGACTAGTTTAATGTGCGGCATCCAGCCTCTTAACACAGCAAACAGGCGTTAGTCTCTCTCTGTTTTCACTGGAGGTAACATCTTGCTTGAGACTCTCTTCAACTAAAGGCTTTTTTTCTGTTTCCAAGCAAATTATTGGTCATTTTGAAATTTATTTTACATATTGACAATATATAATGCAGTGCAGTGTTGATTTAAAGAAAATAATCTTGAATTACACCAAGAGAACTAAAATTTTATGGGTGAAATGGCACCATGGGGTGACTTCTCTTCCACCCCAATGCCTTCTCTTCTCCCTTCTCCTCCACCACCATTCTAATTCCCATCATCATCATCATTATCCAGGAGCCTTCTACATACACACCTCAAAGTAAGTGAACTTTTCTACCATTTTTGTTGAATTTAGGAAATTTTCGGTGAGCTGGAACCAATTACCCAAAAACCCATTGAAACAATGGTTTCGGTTAACAAACTTTTCGGTTAACGAACGACCTTCTGGAACGGATTGAGTTCGTTAAACGAGGGGTCACTGTTATTTACTGCATTTATTTTTAGTTTGTATGTAATTTTCGGTGAGCTGGAACCAATTACCCAAAAACCCATTGAAACAATGGTTTCGGTTAACAAAATTTTTGGTTTACGAACGACCTTCTGGAACGAATTGTGTTCGTTAACCGAGGAACAACTGTAATCTTAATGAAGAAAATCTGGCTGAATGTCGACGAAGAAACACCTGTTGTTTATCACTGTACTAACAGTGAAATTATAGATATTGTTATGAATCCTGATAAAAACAATGAAAGTGATGAAGAAGACAGTGATGAAAATGAAACAGATGTAGCTGAAAGACATAGTACAGTAGAACGTCGATTTAAAGCGATTTAATTTAAGATTATATTGACTAAAAGCGACACCGACAATAAAGGACAATGTTTTAATTTATAACGAATCTTTCCTATTTTGCGCGAGTCAATCTGGTGCATCATATTAAAAATTTTGCACCTAATGTTTCTCTGGGCACGCTACACTGTCCTAAGGGCAAAGTTGTACTGTACATGTACTCAAAATAATGTACTAAATGATTACTAAAATTTTTGTCTCATGTACTCAAAATAATGTGCTAAATGATTACTAAAATTTTTGTCTAGTACAAACTACAGCATGTTTATATTCAAATTAATCACTATCTTATAAGAATTCTAGCAATGTAAATTATATTCTCCCCGGTCACTTCTGTAACACTTTATAAGCAAAAAACATAAACTCAAGCTAAAGGACATAAATAAACAAATAAATACTTCACTAGACCTTCAGCACCAACAGTTAAACATGTCACTGTCACTTCCCTCCCATCCCTCCCTCCCTCCTTCCCCCCCCCCCATCTTCCAAGCCAGGGTTTGGTGTTTTAAGCTTAAAGTTTTTATCTTATATAATGTCACAGACTAAAGTTAGGAGAATATAATTTGTACTGCTGGAATCCTTGCAAGACAGCGAATAATTTGAATAAAAACGTCATATATTTTGTACGAGATAAAAAATTAAGCTCTTTGTACCAAGATTCTTAAATTAGAAAGAAAATTTGTATGACTAATGCAAGCTAAAGCATGTTTATATTTAAATTAATCACTATCTTATAAGAATTCCAGCAATGTTAATTATATTCTCCCATGTCAGTTCAGTGACATTTTATAAAAAAAAACTTAAAGTCACTCTTAAGGACAGATAAATAAAGAAGCACTAGACCTTGGCATCAACTGTCAAACATATCACCCCATCTTCCCAGCCAGTAAACAGACCATTTTGCATCCCTTAATTTTAGCTGTGTTCATTTATGAGTGTTTGTTTTAACATAATACTACAAAAATTAATGTTTTGTTTATTCTAAGAGATGGGCAAAGTTGCATCTGGGTAGACTCTTAGTCTTTTTAGTATTTTGTGTTTCTCTCAAGTACCAAACTAAATTATTCCATGAAACAACACTTTGATTTAGTGCGAATTTGGTTTAAGGCGACCTCTCTTGGAACGTATCTCGCGTTATATCGACATTCTACTGTATTGATAAATTAATTGAGTTGTGGGGTGAATTTATCAAAGGGCTGGAGCAATGTACCTTCGTGATGGAACAAGAGCTAATGAATCTTTATTTGATGCACGAAAAATTACACAGGGAAAGATCAAAGCACATGAAACAACTTCACATGGATGAAATGTTTAAAAACATAACCAAGAAGAATGTGTATCAGAGCAGTAGGCCTACATCCGTAAATCCTGTGGCTTCAACTTCAAGTACCCTGGATGTACCCCCTGCAACATCACAAAGCCATGAAGAAACAGTCAACTATGAAACAGGCAGTAATCCTGACAGCCCTCAACTTTCAGACCTTTGTGATTAGCTATACAGTTCCAGTAAAATTCTGAAATTTGCCAATTTGGGATCAGTAATACTGCAAAATTCTTGGTAAGTACAGTAACTAATAAACCTGTTTCATTTAATCATTTAATTCACATTTAATTTAGATTTAATACTTGTTTAATTTAAGTTTCTAGCAGTTCTTGGTGCTTTAGAGACACAGGAGGTGTATAATTAGTGGGTCAGAGGTGTATTGTTGAATTATTATTACGGGATCTCGGTTGGTCGAGCAAAACGGATAATCCGGAAAGGCTTTGGAACCAAGGTGCTGGAAAATCAGTGGTGTACCTGTATGTAAAGTTGTGGAATGAAGCAAAAGCAAATTATCCCTAAAACAACATATCAGTGTTACTTACCAGAAGGCTGACAGATACTGAATTCAATATATGTGTTAAGAGTTGCTCATCCACTGAAGAATTTGGTTGGGAAGTAAGGAAACGTTGGAGGCTTTGGTTCCAGTAACTTGAAGTTAAAAATATTTCATTCTTACATGAAGTAAACTGAACTTGTTGGATATAAAACCCCAAATTATTGACATTTCTCTTGACATCTTGATGTGAAGTAGCATTCTCAATGTTTAGAAGTATTTTTGTCATTACCAGTTTCAAAACTGATGATTTTAGTAATGTAGTTTCATATTCACCAATGTCTAAATTGGCAGAAAACTTGGAGGACTGAACATGGGCACAATCAATATGTTCAACACCTCCAGCAAATGCTGCAGCCCACACTGTTTTAAGGAAGTCTAGCACTGCCCAATCTTTCTCTTTGAGAATGTGATGTACTGTTCTCATCTCATGACACAGCCCACTTCTCTCATACCAAGGGTATATATCACATATAAAAGGTAAATGAACCCTAGAGGTCAATAATTCTGGTACAGAGATGAAATTTTTCCCATGAACAGTCACTTGTTTTTGACATTCATCAGTTCCAGCAAAAATAATGACATGATTGAAGATGAGAAGAGCCATTAGACAAGATGCCTGACATCTTGTGCGGTCATCTACATAATAAAACAGGGCAACTGAAAAGAAAAAAAAAATATTATGGAAACAATTCTCATGTATGAATAATAAAGAAATATAAATTATATAATTATTTTTCTATTAATATTGTATTATTATTATAATTCAAACCAAAGGGCTTGTGAGAATCTTATAAAACTTTTTAATTACCTAATGCAGGGGGTCCTCATGATAAGAGTGTACAGTATATTCACTCACTGCGAAACAACGGATTTTTAGCTGAATCAATTGAAATTTTATCCTCATGCATGTACGTGTCCCAACGCTAGTCTCCCACTTTGTTTCATCTACACCAGCACATTGTTGTGTTTACTCCTGCCTTTGTTGTACCTTTATGTTCATTTTGTGGTGACTTATTTGATTATTTTTGTAGCCACGAGTTTTCAACGCAATCAGGGTGGTGTAGGGCTCAAACGGAAGCAAACTAGTTATAGTATACAGTAGATGTAAAATTAGAAGTGATCAGGTGAAAGAAGAGTGAGAGTGGACAATCCACCTAGTCCTGTCTCCCTTTCATCCTCCAACTAATCCTCCTCTCCCAACACCCACCTCCATCAATCCAATCAAGGCAAACATTTCTACCTGGCTTAACCTACATTGCCCCGACACATCGACTTCGATGAACTTTAAGGACACTAAATAACTTATAAAGTTAATTATTTTCTTGAAATAATGTGTTATCAAATGTTTAACAAATATTTCTAAGGTAAATAATTGTTAAAAGATACCATATATAAGTTTTTTGAGTGTCGTGTATAATGTCATGGTCCTGATTTGACCTATTTCCATTATTTCTTATGGAATTAATTCCCCACTATAAGCAGATTCATTATCAGTAACGTTTTTATGCTCCCAATTACTCATTGATAACGAGGACCCCTGTATGAATCTATCTACTTTATAACATGTAAGCACATTTCCTCATTCAGAGCATTGATGTCTAGCTGAAAATTTATTCACTGAATGCAGGTACAGTATTCCCCAATTTATGAAAAGGTTCCATTCCAGAAAATAACTTCTATACACCGAATTCTTGTAAATTGAAACACATTTCCTCATAGACACTAGGGTGTGACAGTTGCCCCAGCTTTGTCCTACAATGCTGCTCAAAATTTTGGTGTTGCATATTGACATAAAAAATACCCACGTGCAATTGTTTGAAGATTCATGCATATTTAAGTGAGCACCAGCAATTTGAAAAATAGCGATTTTGTTTATCTGGCATACGCGCCTATATATGAGATTACACAACCATCATAAGGGATATTAACACAAATCATTTGCCGGTCTTAATTAAAAGCTGTTATGACTAATACAAAAAATCTAATCATTCTTATTCTCTCATGGTACATTAAGGGGTTTTATCATATATTCACAAGATATTATTTCTCTAGAGCAAGAAACCATGATTTCTGTTCGGAAACAGATGATCGTTTGCGCTGATTAGGAACGCGAAGTCTGTCATTTCCAATTACTTGAAGGACTTCTTGAAAGCGCTCCTCATCCCTGGCAACATTAAGAAAGTCTTGGCAAAGTTTTACACCACGCTCTGCAGCCTCATTGACGACCTGAAGCTTGTCCACAACCCGTTTCATGTTCAGGTAGTCGTCATGATCTGCCCATTCATTGGCTGGACTGTGGAGAAACTGATAGGGCATGCCTAAAATGGTGAAGATCCGGCTTGAGTCAGGCCCAATTAGGTCCACCAGGGCAGTGCCACTTTCTGGGACAGGGGGAAGATATGGCTTTCCATAGCCCCCATGATTGAGCCCCACTCTCTTAGTAACTTCAGTGCCTTCATGGCAAAGAAGGGCCTTCCTCATCTCCTCTTTTGTCCTTTCTTGTACTTGGGACGAGAACAAAGCCAGTGGGGCCAACTCCTCAGTTAGGTACCAAGTGTGTCTACCGAGTGCCACACGTGCTTTGTCAACTATTGTGGCGTCATATGGGGCAAATTCAGCCAAGGTTTCGACCAAATTCAAGTCATTCAGTGGCGCACTTGCTGGAACGGGGCAAACAATCCACCATGGGACATAAACAGCGACTGTGAACACAGCAAACCGTTCTAACTTGCTGATTTGACTTTTAGTCACAACTTCGGCTTTGGGAACTGCTCTTTGATCTGGCCTGACAAAAGAACAATCTTGAGGGTATAGAGCAGTTTAGCCATCCACCTTGCTTTGTGAAGTGCGCCGGGGTAGACGATCGTGAAGTTCACTGGCTCGGATCCTTTAGTTACAAGCAGCAGACAAAGCTCTACCAGCTCCTTGTACTCGCCACGTGTAAATGGTTGGGCTAGAGATTCACGGAAGAAGTCAGCCATCTCCTGCTGGCACTCCTCAAACACTCCAGGCATTGCGGGGTAGTAGTATTTCTTTTTTTCATTGTACGCCAGTTGAGAGAAATGGGTCTTGAACCTAGAAATGCAATTATTGGGATTATTGTATTTCGTACTAATCTATAATATTGTTTTAGGGGTATTAAGATTGATATGATCGATCATTTGCTTGGTGTTAGTATATCTTATAAGTCTAATAAAAGAAATTTCACTAAATTTGTTCATTAGATAATAATATTCCTTGTTATTTTGTAAAGCCGACGGTGCTAGCTCAAACATGCACCGATCTCCAAGGAAATTTACAGGGGTGTTTCCGAGATAAATACACAACACTAAAACTTTGAACAGCATTGTAGGATCATTTTTTTATTTTTGGAGGGCAACGGTCACACCCTAATAGACACCCATTATAAAAGCTGAGGTATATTCCAACGGAGGAAGGGGGCCTTAGAATGCCACAAAACACATTTCTAATAAGAAAAAATTACATGCACAACAATTACAGTCGACCCTCGTTAATTCGGACTAATCGGGGGGGAGGGGGTGTCCGTTTTAGCTGATTGTCCGAATTAACCAATTTAGGTTAGGTTAGGTTAGGAAATATAGTACCGTATATACACTGTACGCTGAACATGATACACAGTAACAAAAATACAGGAAACACTGTGCTGTAAACATCATATAACTAGCTATATAAGACATTACAACTTGTTAATTTCATTTACCTTTGGAAGATGACTCTTAATTAAGTCATTTAGCCTCTCCCTGAATGGTTCGATGTCCTCGGTGGGTGCACTACCAGCTTCACCATGCGTAATTTTATTACACATTCCATGGCGATTTCTAAATCGCCATAACCACCCGTCACTAGCTTCGAAATTCTCGATGCCCATATGACTTGCTAGCTTAACAGCAGCAGCTTGTATTTCTACACCACGGACGACATTACCACAGGATCGTTGCTGCACAAACCACTTCGTCACTGCCTCCTCAAGATTTGTATCTTTTGCCACTCTCATACGCTTCCTTGCACCAACAGATGATGATTTAGAAGTTGCATCAACATTATATTTCAAAGAAAATGCAATGAGTTTGTCCTTAGCCTTGCGTATGTCCGAAACTGTTTGCTTTTTAACACCATTCTCGTCACAAACTCTAGACACCAACGCACCAGCCTCTAACTTCCTTATAAGTTCCAGTTTCTGGTTCACAGAAAGGGTCACATACTTCCTCTTTGGCGTTTTACTCCCCCTTGAAGACATGATGTAAAATACAAGACTGAAAGATACCTAATCACTGAAATATCAACGAAAATTGCAGGGCATCACAACACTGATACTTGGGAGCAGAATTGTTAACGCTGATCCCAATGGTGGAGTCGTCGACATATTTCCAGCGAGCAGGGGTTTCTCTTAGGTGTGTGTGTGTGTATGTGTGTGCAACCCTTGAGGTCAGTACCACTTAACTTGTTCTTGGGTCACACTTTTAAATTCCATGTTTCTAATAAGAGCTCTATATGAAGATTGAGTCGGTTTTGATTCCTGTTTAGCTTTTTTTTTCTTATTTCCTTTGTCAGGAAGGAAGATTTTATGGGTTACCCTTAACCCACTCGTGCATGATCATGCGATTCGCATCATATTTATGATAAGACCAACTTCACAATGATGCAAATCGAGTCAACAAACTTAAAAAATTCACCAAAATTAATTTTCAACAGAAATGCGTCAAATTTTTTGTGTCATGGTATCAAATATACTAATTGGCAATTCTCAAGGCCCATAGAAAGGAAAGACCAGAACGATAAATGAGCAGTATTGTCTCAGCGGTCAGACCATTAGTGTGAGCCGTGTCCATTTAAATTTCCATAACTATGCAGGCTGCCTCAACTCCTGGATTACAGTGCTTACCCACTCTCTAAAATTATATATTTTTTGTGTTAGTCAGTTTGTGTTTAGGGAACCGTTTCTAGCCCCCTCCCCATGTGGTGTGAGCAGAGTGGCTCCTCGAAAGGGCTGCTCAGTCGCACACACAGCACTGGATTGCATTTCTGACTAGATCCCAGTGCATAAACAACCATCTTATCTGTGCCGCCCATGTGCAAAGGTGTGACTAGAGACTAGACACATTTCAACACCCTGTAAACAAATGAACGAACGAACAAACACACGCACACATTGTGGAAAGAATTTGAAATACGGTAAGTCAACAAACTCTGAAAGAGAATACATTACAGTTCCTGCATGACTACACTTAACTATGAGCATAGACCAACTTCTAAACCATTATCTCCCTACAAAATTTATAACACTCTAGAACTAGTCATAAACAGAACATTTCATTTCCATTTGTTTCCTTGTTTATGAAATTGAACTCTGTAGTCTGTTCACTCAAACTTTGCGACTAAGGTCTAGGGTCAGTTTGTAGCAATGTAGCTGATTGGCTGGGTGGCAGACATGGGGAGAGACACTACAGTTTCATAGTATTTAATCTATCATATTTATATTCTGATATTTTATGGGATTACAAATTTTGTGTGTTGATGTCTGATAATTTCTGCACTTGGAGAAACAAAAGTTAGCAGTAAAATATACTGGTAATAAAAATATCATAAGGAGAACATGAACATGATGAACAAGTTCAGGGACATACACTCCATCTCATTGCATGATGTCACCCAGCATGATGGAGGATATTATTGAAATTTTGTGATGATTCCTTTTTCTCTTTATAGTTATGTCACCAGTGTATCTCACATGCTAATTTTGGCTTCCCCAAATGCAGAAATAATCAGATATCAACACAGAAAAATTATAATTCTATAATCTATCAGAATATAAATATGATAGATTAAATACTATAGAACTGTAGTGACTATATCCATGTCCATCAGCCAGCCCAATCAGCTGCATGGTACAAACTTTAGTTGCAAAGTTTGAGTGAACAGATTATAGTAACCCTTCTCACAGCAAATGTGGATCAGACTAGCAACCATATTGAGCAGAGATTAAAAATCACTTTCTTCCTTTTTCTCAGGTCTTTCTATTGCTCCTCCTTACCACTGCAGTCAAGACCTCTCTTTTCTGTACCTCTGAAATGCACAAGTACAGTAAACCCTAATATACTATTAATTTGGATGTTGATCTATGACAGAGAAGGACCAAGACAAATTAAAGCCTCTCCTGTGTCTGTGTGGAGGCCATGTATTCTGCCTTGTAAAGCACTCCTTATCTCCCTCATGTAGATTTTTAATTTTTTTAACAGGGAATAGCCCACCCGGGCACAGGTCATCAACCCACAATGGGCCTATGGGTAAATAAATAAGAGTAAAAAGAAATTAAAAATAGAAGAGACAAAGACAATATTAATCTACACCACGAAGATGCCGGAAAACCATCTTTTTGAAGTGAGATAGACTGTAAGAGTATGGAAACACAGAAGAAGGCAGAGCATTCCACAATTTGGCTGTGTGAGGAAAGAAGGATGTACTATAACGGGTTATTCTAGTGTGACCGACATCCAAACAGAAACTGTGGGCACCGTGGGCAAGACGAGTGTTGCGAGCCCATGGCCTTGCAAGCGGTACACAGGATGCCTAATCCATCGAACAATGCCTGTTAAAGTACCTGTGAAAGAGAGAAAGTGAAGCAACATTGCGGGGAAGAGAAATTATCAACTAAAGGAGGAGAGTTAACAAGACAAAATGCCTTTGATAGGATTTCCTACAAGATTTACTGACAAATGCTCAAGGTCACCCTCAATGCACAAACCTCTGAAGCTCAAGTTTCATTGACAGGAAAAGCACTGTTCCTAAGTAAGCATACAAGTCTTTACAATATCCTGGAACCAGATCCAGTTTATGGACCATCGTACGTCCCTCAAATGAGAGAGAAGTCAAAGATCCTTTGTGAGTACATTCAATCTACAAAAATTTTTGCGATGGGTAAATAATAAGTAGAATTAAACTCTCTTTTCCAAATATATTAGTCATTGTAGCTCTTACCTCTAACGATACACAAAAGAAACTCCTCATCTTGGAGAAGTGTCGTCCTGATATGATTCGAGTGAGTTGCTATTAATCTAAGAGTCTCTACTGCTCCTGGTAAATATTCTACTGTAAGATTTGGGGAGCCATCACGCTGAAATAAGTAAATATTTGATGAGTGCATCAATGATTTTAATGGTAATGTAATATACATAATAATGGATTACAGCAAAATCTTGTGGGTATGATTTCAGGCTACAAACTGTATTGCAAATGGAGAGTAATTTCTAATGAGTCTTTCTGTGCTTTCATACAAATCAATGTATTGTCAATAAACTTCTCAACTTATTAAGATACAGTAACGTAAAGAAAGTCCCAAAAGTCTTGAGAGCAAAAGGTATTAAAAGGGTGAACATCCTAAGTCCACCATGGAATGGGAGAGAGAGGGAAATAATGTCTAGGGATGAAGCATGTTTAAGAAGGCTAATATTTTATACAGTACAGTAGAACGTCGATATAACGTGAGATACGTTCCAAGAGAGGTCGCTTTAAACCGAATTCGCACTAAATTGAAGTTTTGTTTAAATGGAATAATTTAGTTTGGTACTTGAGAGAAACACAAAATACTAAAAAGACTAAGAGTCTACCCAGATGCACCTCAGCCCATCTCCTAGAATAAACAAGACATTGTTTTTTGTAGTATTATGTTAAAAGAAACACTGATAAATCAAAATCAACACAGCTAAAATTAATGGTTGCGAAATGGTCTGTTTACTGGCTGGGAAGATGAGAGGGGGGGGGTGAGGTGATATGTTTGACAGTTGATGCCAAGGTCTAGTGCTTATTTATTTATCTGTCCTTGAGAGTGACTAAGTTTTTCTCTTATAAAAAGTCACTAAACTGACTTGGGAGAATATAATTAACATTGCTGGAATTCTTATAAGATAGTCATTAGTTTGAATATAAACATGCTATAGTTCACATTAAACATACAAATTTTAGTTATAATTACAAATGGCAAAAAAAATTTCTTTTGTGCAAAATATATGATGTTTCTATTCAAATTATTTGCTGTCTTCCAAGGATTCTAGCAATGCAAATTATATTCTCCTAACTTTAGTCTGTGACATTATATAAGATCAAAACTTAAAGCCTAAGACACCAAACCCTGGCTGGGAAGGGGGGGGGGGCAGAGGGAGGGAGGAAGGGGAGGTGACAGTGACATGTTTGACAGTTGGGGCCGAAAGTCTAGTGAAGAATTTATTTGTTTATTTATGTCCTTTAGATTGAGTTTTTTTTCATTTTTTTAAATGTCACAGAAATGACCGAGGAGAATATACTTTAAATTGCTGGAATTCTTATAAAATGGTGATTAATTTGAAAATAATCATGCTAGTTTGCAGTAGATAAAAATTTTAGTAATCATTTAGTACATTATTTTGAGTACATGTACAGTACAGTTTTGTCCTTAGGACAGTGTAGCGTGCCCAGAGAAACATTAGGCTCAAACTTTAAAATATGATGCGCCAGATTGACTCGCGCAAAATAGGAAAGATTCGCTTTAAATTAAAACATTGCTACGATTCTGGACAAGGCTTCAGCGACCACATTCGCTCATCACGATAAGTACTTGAACACGGGGGCGAATTCTTGAATGGTCAGCTACCAGCATGCTAGTCTGCCTGAAAGGTTTTTGCCGTATAACAGCTCTGTCACTGCCACGTGATCCGGATGGACGGTTATTGGATAACCAAAAATTAAGTCTTTAAACTTCTTCAGTGCCCAAACAACAGTTAATATTTCTAGGTGTGTTACTGAATAGTGTGTTTCGGCATCATTAAGTGAAAGCAATTACTCGATGTTAACCTCTTGTGTCCAGCTGCATAAGTACAGCGTTGATTCCTTGTCCTAAGGGGTCGGTACACAGAGTAAATGGTTTAATGTAGTCAGGAAATACTAAAACAGGTGCTTTCTTCAATGCCATAAAACTATCCTCTTGTTTCGCATTCCAGACAAAAGTTGCATCCTTCCTTAAGTAGCTTAGTCAAGGGTGAAGCTAACGTCGCATAACCTTCAATAAAATAACGATAATATCCAGATAAACCAAGAAAACTACGCACCTTATGAACAGTTGTAGGAAGTGGGAACAGCGCAACAGCTATAACTTTGTCATCAACTGTATGAATGCCGTCACCGTCAAGTACATGACCAAGGAATTGTATTCTGGATTGATAAATTCACATTTAGAAAGTTTGACTCTGAGTCCTACTGTATAAAGTTTCTGGAAAACTTCATGGAGTTTCGCAATATGACTCTCTACATTCTTACTGACCCCGACGAGATCATCTAAGTAGGCAAGCACAGTGTTGATCATCCTTTAAAAAATGAGTGGGGCATTTCGGGAACTGCATGGCATCCGTAAAAATTCAAAATGGCCCAAAAGAGTACTAAAAGCAGTAATCTCACGAGATTTCTCGTCAACAGGAATTAGCCAATATCCGCTAAACAGATCAAGGTTGCTAAACACAGCATTATCCTTGCCTATAAATTGCAAAATATCACTCAGGACGGACATTGGATACCTATCCGGAATGGTATTTTCGTTGACGCACCGAAAATCAATAACTGGGCGCCAACCTCCATCCTTCTCAGGGATTAAAAACAGTGGGCTATTGAGAAGAGACTTTGCATGTGTGATAACTTCCTGCTCTAACATATCTTGAACCATGTCTTGCACTACAGCAAGCTGGCTATGAGGTAGTCTATAAGCTGGTATGTGAATCGGGTTTGTGTCCAGTTTTAAAGATATGTCATGCGAAGTTAAACTTGTCTGCCCTAGTTGTTCCCCTGGTAGGGCTATAATGTTTCTGTAGTCGGCAAGCAACTTAGGAGCCTAGCCTTGCCTTGAGGGTGATCAATTACCTTAACATGTGGCACTATTTGATCTATCCTCTCCTGTCTGGATTGTGTAATTGAATGTGTAACACTACCAATTGGGAATTGCATAGGCTGTAAAGCAACATTATTATGATAAACTAGAAAATCACACAAATAACATCCCTCTTTCAATATTCTGAGAGTGCCTGTTTTGTTGAGAACTAGGACATCTGTTAATTCACCAGGACAAATCACACTCAAAGTATATTCACATGATAAACCTTTAACTCTGCACGTTTCCATAAGATGGACTACACCAGTCCCCGTGTGCACGTCAAGTAAGCTAGCAGTGGCCCTGGTTATTTCCTCATTCTGAAAATGGAGAGTACCTGTTAATACTGCAAGTACTACCATCCAACTTTTGCTGCTGTAATCATGCTAGGTAAATGAGTCAGTGGGGTCTGGGACTCGCTTAGACTCAGTATTCATCTTCCTCATAGTACGAGAGTTGGACAAAACATTCACCCTTGCGGAGAGCAATGGTACAGGTTTGTGCATGGCACAATAGGTAACACCACTAACAGTGATAGTACTTTGGTTTGGCTGGACATCTATCATGTGTTTAAGAGTTGAAAGACCAATTAATCCATCAGTTGGTAAGTTATTTGGTTTGGCTGGACATCTATCATGTGTTTAAGAGTTGGAAGACCAATTAATCCATCAGTTGGTAAGTTAAAGTCCTGTCAATATAAAACTCTGAGGAAATGGTTTACCAAGTCTAGAAAAACGTAATGGTAGTGTTACCCTCCAGTAATGTCCAGCTGGGCACTGGAAACTCCTATGAGATCAGTGTCAGTAGGTCTAATTTTAAAATTTCGGTGAGGGGAACGTCGTTTAGTTCTTAATAGGACGCTAATGAGAGTAGATTTGCACATGCACCCGCATCTATATCTAATGCAATTTGATTACACCAACCCTCGCCGGAACAGATAACACTTCCGCTTTGTTCAGTGCCACTATTAACAAAGCTGCAACAGAAGTGCTGCTGTGAATTAGTACTGTTGTACCTATCCTACGTCGTTCTGGGAAAGGCGCTGGTCTTCCCCCGTCTTCTTATGATAGCGACGACGCCATGTCCGCTGTGGTGTTACCTAGGGTAACTCATATCCTATATCACGGCATCGTGGGAGAACCTGACAATCTTCAAAATTATGGAAGGCAGACTGATGATACACACACACCACATATCAGGTGTCTGTTCCGTAGCAGACTTGGTCTGAGCAACTGCTGAATAAGACTTGGGTGGGTCTTGTCGCGGTCGTGGATTTGTGTTTGGAGTTGTGTGGTGTTGGGGTTTGACACCACCTTGCTGGAGCTGGGAACAAAAGTCAATTGTATGACCTTCCTTGGTGCAGTGTTTACATACTTAAGGTTGTTTGACCTTTGTGCCAGAATTCTTGAGAACTCTTTGTTGAACCGGGGCCACAGGTGTTACAGTCCTGGCTTGGGGAGTAAGAGGTGTCTTAATTGCGATCTTTCGTGTGTAAGCAAGAATTGTATCCTTGCAGGTATCGTCATCTGTCTTTCGTGCGTAAGCAAGAATTGTATCCTTACAGGTATAGTCATCTGTCTTTGCTTGAGTATACGCAGGTTCGCGTATCGTCAATAGAAAAGTAGCAAATTCAATTAATTTTGCAGAAATGTCTAATGTTATCTTGTCATCACCATCCAGCCAGGCCAAACCGCAAAAATTAGCTTTGACATCTTGACAGACATCACCTGGTATGGAGACACTTTTCATAGTATCCTTTGCTCGAACCATACGAGGAAGACGGTCAACCCATCTAAAACTCCAATTCAGAAGAATGCACTTTATTTTCATCTCTCAAACCTGGAAAAAACTACCCCCATCCCCGGAATTTTCCGGAGTTTTCCGGGTACTGGGGAAATTTTCTCAGAATTTTCCAGAAATTGTGCCCCTTGGAAAATCGTTCCCAATGACGGAATTTTTGGGAAGATTCTGGCATTGGAAATGATTTTCCGAGAAAATATCAATTCCAACTATCAGAGAGTTCCGAGTTTGAGGGATTCCAGCTAAAGGAGACAATACTGTAATAATTAACATAAACCATATAACTTACCTTCACCATGTTAATGAAGTTCATTACGAGGAACTGAAGAGAACACAGCTTGAAAAAGGGCTGATGAAGTTGTGGATCTTCTAACAGGAAAGCCAGTTGAGACCATGCAGCCTTGCATACCCCTGGCTCAACTCCTCTACCTTGAATCAGCTCCAAAATCCTCATCAAGCGACCTTCCTACAGAAACACAAGTGAAAAGTTAATATTCTGCCATTTCAAAAACTTAATTTTTTCATTTGAAAACTACTTTCTCATAAATAAAAAATTCTAGTAGAAAACCAGGAAAAATTTACTATTGCAGCTTCATTTGTTATGTGCTGATCACCTGACATCTCATATTAGCTCACCCAAATAACTGCCATCTTTCAGTTTTGTATGGTCTGCGTATGCCTTATCTGCGCCCATTTTTCTTTAATCCCTTTACCAGTGGCATAAAAAGGGGGGGGGGGGCAAGTGGCCATGGCCCCCCTTTTGCTACTGCCCTCAACTCATTCAACCCAATGCATTCAGTTCAAAAGGATCTAAGTCCTTAGAAATTAATTCAGGCCAATAGTCAAGGAGAAAGAAACTAACAGAAGTTTCTGCCAGAGTAATATTTCCACACCATGCAGATTGCTCAAAGTATGTACAGTGGTCCCTCGGTTAACGAGCGCCTCAGTTAACGAGATTTCGGTTAACGAGTTACCTCCCATAAAATTCTTAACTTCGATTAACGAGCAACCCCTCGGTTAACGAGTTTCTTACGAGCCGACCTCAACATGTTTTCGCTTGCACTTGGCGGTCAACCAGCTTTAGTATTAGTCGTCAATACATTAATCGGTTCTAGGGCTTAAATTCCTTACTATTTTAGTAAATATCAAGAAGTTTATACTATTCAATAATTTTACAAGTTTAATATTAAATGTTTTAGTAATTTTAACAATTATTGAACATAATTGAAGGTAAAGTGACTAGTTTAATGAGCGGCATCCAGCCTCTTAACACAGCAAACAAGCGTTAGTCTCTCTCTGTTTTCAGTGGAGGTAACATCTTGCTTGAGACTCTCTTCAACTAAATGCTTTTTTCCTGTGTTTCCAAGCAAATTATTGGTCATTTTGAATTTTATTTTACATATTGACAATATATAGCGCAGTGCAGTGTTATTTTAAAGAAAATATTCTTTATTTACAACGAGTTTAACTTTAAAAAACACGTGTTGACATTGTTTGAATCCAGCATGGGGCCTAAGAGATCAAGAAAAGCGATTTCAATCCAAACCAAGCAGGAAATCATAAAAAAACATGAACAAGGCATTAGAACTAATGCGCTATGCAAAGAATGTGGCATGTAGACATCAACTGTGTCGACAATTCTTGCACAGAAAGACAAATTTAAAGAAGTGAAAGTGAGAGACAAATCTACAAGTGTTTAAATGTAGATCCCTAATTGCAGAAACCGAGAGGTTACTTCTCATCTGGATTAAGGAAAAGCAGATGAAAGGTGATTCAGTTTCTACTGAATTCATTTGTGAAAGAGCCAGGGAGATTTAGGAACATTTAAAGACAGATCAACCTGGTTCTTCAGGCACAGAATTTGAAGATTTTAGGGCCAGCAAAGGCTGGTTCGAAAAATTTAAGAAAAGAAGTGACATTTTCAGTGTTGTTAGGCATGGTGAAGCTGCTAGTGCTGATAAGGAAGGGGCAGCAAAGTTTTTAGATGAATTTAAAAAACTGATGGAAGAAGAAAATTATCTTCCACAGCAAGTGTTCAATGTGGACAAAACTCGGCTGTTCTGGAAAATGATGCCCAAAAGAACATTCATCACTAGAGATGAAGTCTCTTTACCTGGGCATAAACCCATGAAAGACCGTCTCACTCTATTGCTTGGTGCCAATGCTTCAGGGGATTTCCGACTGAAGCCTAGGCTTGTCTACCACTCTGAAAAGCCCAGGGTGTTCAAGCAACAGAAAGTGGTAAGAACAAAGCTTGGAGTTTATTGGAAGTCCAACCGTAAGGCATGGGTGACAAGACAGCTCTTTAATGAATGGGCTGTTGATGTGTTTTGCCCTTCTGTCAAGAGCTACCTAACCATCAATAAACTCCCTTTCAAGGCTCTTCTCCTCATGGATAATGCTCCTGGTCATGACCCTGACCTTGCCAGAAATTTGGAGTATCAATTTGACTTTGTGAAAGTGTTGTTTTGCCTCCAAACACTCCATCAATCATACAGCCAATGGACCAGAATGTGATCAGCAACTTCAAGAAGTTGTACATGAAGAAAATGTTTAGGAGGTGTCATCAGGCAACTTCCAATGATCCTGAACTAACGCTGAAACAGTCCTGGAAGACACAACTGCCGTTGGGTTCTTGTTGGATCTCTGTAAGCATGTCTGCCTGATGCGGGGCTCCACCGCAGATTTTTCATTCGGGGTTTACCCCGTAGCCTTATACCTACCAAGGTTAATCCACAAGGCAGCAGGGCAGTGGTTGGCAGGCGCCAGGACGTATCCACAGGCCAGTGGGCCTATGCACCATCTCTCTGGGGTCCACTGCTACTCCAAGATCCCCCGCTGGTCTAGCCTGGGCCTACGGCACCCAGTTACCGTTTATTGCCACAAGGAGGCACAGCAGGAATCTTGATGGTGAAGACGCTGTGTACTGGCAGTGGAAGACATGCAAATTGCTTCCCTGTTCGCCATGAGGGCTAGCCAGCGGTGGCAGCTGAAGGCGAAAGGGAGCAAGCAGTGGTTGCACCTTAACACTGACATAATGCTGGCATTTTTCATGCATTTCACCACCCTGTGTGCGACACACACACACTCACCACCATCACCAACACACCACAACCAACACACTACCACCACAACACTCACCACCACCACAACACTCACCACCACCACAACACTCATCACTACCACACTCAACACTATCAACCTCACCACCACCAACACTCACTGCCACCACCAACACTCAGCATCACCACCAACACTCACCACCAACCATCACCTCCACCCATCACCACCATCACCAGTACTCACCACCACCATCACTCACCACCACCACCATCACTCACCACCACCACCAAAACTCACCATCACCAATACTCACCACCACCACTAAAACTCACCACCACCAATATTCACCACTAGCACTCACCACCACCACCATCAACACTAACCACCACCACCACTCCCCATCACCACACCACCACCTACCATGACCAATTTCAGGGATTTTTTGAGGGTATCTGCAATGAATAGTAGGACATATTTTGTGGTTAATATTAGTACTTTATCCCATTGGCATATGATTCAATCACTCAGACTTTTTTAGTGTTTATTTTTTTGTGATCATGTTACTTGTAGAAAGCTCCTTTGATACTTTATCATTCAGTTACAGTATGTCTTGAAGCTCTAAAAAATAAATGCAGCTGTGGTCATCTCTTTTATAAAACAAATGCTATGCTCTTTAACCAAAATATTTTTTCATTAACAAATTAACTTACCCAAATAATTGTTGGTGTAAATATTTATGAATACAGTGGTCCCTTGGTTAACGAACACAATTCGTTCCAGAAGGTCGTTCGTTAATCAAAAATTTCGTTAACCCAAACCATTGTTTCAATGGGATTTTGGATAATTGGTTCCAGTTCACCAAAAATTACATCCAAAGTAAAAAAAAATGGAGTAAAGTACACTTACTTTGAGGTGTGTATGTAGAAGGCTCCTGGTTGATGACGATGATGATGGGAATTAGAAGTGGGGGTGGAGGAGAAGGGAGAAGAGAAGGAAGAGGGGGTGGAAGAGAAATCAACCCATGCTTGATGCCGTCATTTCACCCATAAAATTTTAAGTTCACTAGATGTAATTCAACACTGCACTGCACTTAAATCAACACTGCACTGCACTATATATTGACAATATGTTAAATAAATCTCAGAATGACCAATAATTGTACTGTAAAAACGTAAAAATACTCTGTGTTCAAGAGACCCACAAGCAAGATGTTTCCTCCACTTAACAGAGACCTTGGTGGGTGAATGAAGTGGCTGATTGGCGCACCAAAAACTAGTTCCCTGTACTGCAATTATGTTAAATAAGTATTAAAATGACTAAAAAATTTAATATAAAACTTGGAAAATTATTGAATAGTACAACCTTCTTGATATTTACTCCAATTTTAACGAATGTAAGCCCTAGAACTGATTTCTGTATTGGCGGACTAATCTTCCAGCTGGTGAGCAAGCCAAAGCATGTCAAAACATTTTCGTAAGAATTTCATTAACCGAATTTTTGTTCGTTAACCGAATTGAGTATTCTTTATTCTTATGGAAGGTAATTTGTTAACCGAAATTTCGTTAACCAAGGCATTCATTAACCGAAGGACCACTGTACTGCAAATATGACTGTAGCATTTATTATATTATAGACTAGCAGAAACGATGCCCTCCGGGCGGCTCATTTGCTAGGTCACGGTAGGACGCCACCCTCCGGGAGGCTCCACATTGTCTCACTGTTCAGTCCCGAAAACTTCTTCCATCAATGGTTCATTAACAGTGTATGTAAGTTCCACCATGTTTTTCACTACAACGGTACAGCAAAGAATATTTTTTTTAGCTTTAGACTGTTATTATTTCATTGTCTAATCATCACTACATATAACACCACCCATCATCACTACATATAACATCATCCATCATCACTACATATAACACCATCCATCATCACTACATATAACACCATCCATTATCACTGCAAATCGGTAAAGTAGTTTTCGAGATTCTCGTGCGGACACACAAACAAACAGACAGACTTCTTTGTTTTATATAGATAGATAGGTAATAAGAAGATATCATACAATGATAGACTGAATATGTAGATGTGGTTAAAGCTTTGTGCAGTGGACTAAATAAAAAAGGAGAGAGAGAGAGAGCACAGTAACTCACTTCTTGAGGTCAAGGACAGTACAATAAGATGTTTTTACGGCTAAAACCTTTGACAAGATGAGTGGTTGCAGCCAGCGCTCCTGCCTCATCACATAAATCAACTCCCGCGCAGCCAACATCCAGCTCATCATACCATACATCATCATCAAAACCCTTTACCCCCAAAAGTCCTATGGAGATGGAAGAGTGGCGACGGGGACAAACAGAGATGACTGCCGGGAGTCTCTAGTCACAAATCTGCACATGAGTGGCCCAGATAAGATGGTTGTTTATGCACTGGGTTCTAGGCAGCAGTGCAATCCGGTCCTGTCTGTGCGAATGAGCAGTCCTTTTGGGGAGCCACTCTGCTCACACCACATGGGAAGGGGGCTAGAAAAGGTACCCTAAACATAGCCTGCCTAAAAACCCAAGCTGAATAGGCAACCATACCCAGTAAGGTCATCTTTATGCGGTCAAAAACACAACCAAAATCACAGATCCAAACAAAAACAAATCATACAACCTCTTATGGTCACTGCATGGAATGTCAGGACCCTTCTGGATAATGGAACAAATGTGCATCCTGAAAGAAGAACTGTCCTTGTGGCAAAAGAGCTGGCTAGGTATAACATCGACATAGCAGCCATCAGTTAGTCCCAGCTCCTAGGTGAGGGCCAACACACAGAACAGGGTTCTGGTTACACCTTCTGGAAGGGTAAGCCTGCTGCAGAGAGAAACCGCATTTATGGAGTTGACTTTGCCATCCGCCAACGCATCCTACACAGCCTAACTGAAATGCCTATTGGAATCAATGAGCACCTCAAGACGCTTCGAGCCCCACTGAGTCACTCACGTCATGCCTTCTTTTTCAGTGCATACGCCCCAACACTGGATGCAGTGGATGACATCAAGGAGGCCTTTTACACCGACCTCGGCGGACTGCTAACCTCTATCCCCAGAGAAGACAAGGTTGTGTTCCTTGACGACTCCAATGCCAGAATTAGTAGATGCTAACATTTGGCAAGGAACCATAGGGAGAAATGGACTGGGCAACTGTAATCCCAACTGTCTACTCCTCCTCAGCAAGTGTGCTGCACACAACCTCACTATCACCAATACCTTGTTTAGGCAGGCCGACAAGTTCAAGGGTTTGTCGCAACACCCCCGATCCAAACACTGGCATCTCATTGTCTACATCATTGTCAGAGATCGCCAAGATGTCCTCATCACCTGTGTCATGCGTGGCTCAGACCACTGTGACACTGATTATCGACTTGTCAGAGCCAGGCGCTCACTTTACGTCGCCCCAAAACGGTGAAGGCAACAACCCAACAGCAAACAACGTGAATCCAAGTGCTGAATGGGATATTCTTAATACTGTTATGACAAAAACCTGCAGAGACCCTCGGCCAGATCAAAAGAATACACCAGGACTGAAGTTCATTAATGGAAGCTGCCGACACCTTTGTTCCTGCCTGGAGTCTTATGTTGAAAAGAACCCCCTTCACCCGGTACTCGATGTTCACCCAGCTGGCTAAATTGGCACTGGCACGAGTAAGGAAGGCAGCCAAGAAGATGGAAAAGAGAGTTGGTGCCAGTACACAACCTTGTTTAACCAGTTTGGATGGGGAAGAACTCAGACTGGGTGCCGTTGTGCAGGACACTGCCATTCATGCCATCGAGGAGTTGCCTCATAATGGCCATGAATTTTTGTGGGCAGCCAAAATAGCTGAAGGTTCACCAGAGGGTTTCCCTGTTGACCGAGTCGAAGGCCTTGGTTAGGTTGATGAAAGCTTTGTACAGGTCATGACGCTGTTCTCTGCTTTTTTTTTGTATCTGACGGGCAGCAAAGATCATGTCAGTGGTGCCACTTGATGGTCTAAAACCACATTGAGATTCTGGGAGGAAGTTTTCTGCCTCAGGAAGAAATCTGTTTAGGAGGACTCGGGCGATAATCTTGCCAGCTACGGACAGCAGCGAGATCCCACGGTAGTTGCCACAGTCTGACCAGTCTCCCTTGTTCTTATAAATATTGACGATGGAGGCATCTTTAAGAGTTTGGGGGATTTCCTCCTTTTTCCACATATTCTCCAGGAGAGAGTGGAGATGAATGGTAAGCTGAGGTCCTCCTGCTTTATACACCTCGGCTGAGATTCCATCAGGCCCTGAGGCTTCGTTAATTTTCATCTGTGTGATGGCAGTAGCTACCTCATCCAGGGATGGAGGATAGCTGAGGTGGGTCAGCTCTGGATGTTGAGGGACCTGCTGGGTAGTCAGGACATTCATATCGGTGTTTCAGTTGAGCAATGAATGGTAGTGCTCTTTCCAGTGCTGAAGGAGACCTTCATCATCTTTAATAATGAGGTTACTGTCAGGTGAGCGGAGGGGGGCTGCGCCACGAGTGACTGGCCCATATAATGTTTTAGTGGAAATGAAAAATTCGTGCATCTGTGCTGATCTGCAAGTTTTTGTACTTCATATGCTTTACTTTTAAGCCAGCCGTTCTTCAGATTGCAAAGTTCCAGCTGGGCTGCCGCTTTCATCTTGCGGAAGGTATCAGCTTTGTTTCGAGACTGAGGGTTGTTCTGCCAATCAGTAAAAGCAGCATGTTCATCATCGATGAGTACTTTGATTGCCAGGTCATTTTCATCAAACCAGTCCTGGTGTATTCTTTTGATCTGGCCAAGGGTTTCTCTGCAGGTCTTTGACATAACAGTATGAAGAGTATCTCATTCGGCACTGGGATTCACGTTGAATTTTGATGGGTTGTTTATCAGCCCATGTTCGGGCAGCTCTCTAAAAGCATGTGCTACCTCTGGATCCTCCAGATGCTTAGTATTAAAACCTCTTCTGGAGGCTTGCTGCCTTTGCCATTTGAGGCCGTGAAGTGAGAGTTTGGCTCTGACAAGTCGAAGATCAGTGTCAGTGGTCTGAGCCACGCATGGCATGGGTGATGAGGACATCTCGGCAATCTCTTTCTCTGACAATGATGTAGTCAATGCAACACACATACATACACATACACACACACAAAACACATACAAATAAATAATAATTGGAAAATACTCTCACAAAAAATAAGAAACAAATTTATTAAAAGTGTGACAATCTACCCTCAAGTCCACACTCTATTACAGTACGTATTTTATTTATTACTATCGCCAGAACAAATGGCTCCCTGTCCCAGCCGCAAAAATGCCGGCAACTTTAAAACTACCCACAGACATTCTTGGGTACATCCAGAGTGTTATCCACGAATAATAGAGGACCGCAAAATAAAAATCAGCAAATCTGGGGGGCCCCCTGTACTATAAATTATTTCTTATCTTATGAAAAGTCCTAAAATAAGGAATGAATAAATTTTTCATAAGATTATTTCTACATTTTTTCAGTCCCGAACATAATCATATGCACAGCAGCAAACTAGACGATGTATCCGTTGTTTACATTGGAGGAGCCAGTCTCTAACTCTACTCTCGATGGCAATAAGCATTGAAGTGAATTGTGAGTAAATGATTGAACCTGAATTCTAGACAGTGGGCACAGTATTATATGGATCTTGTTGATTAGACAAGTGTTCAGGTGTAAAAGAGAAGGCAGAGACAATTTCTTGGATTTACTTGTGCAGGCAGTCATACAAAGTTTGAGATGTGTACTGTACCAAAGACAGTAGGGCACTGATCCTCTGACCAGGGTCCCCCCCCCACCCAGGTGAAGGACTTCACCGTCTAAGCACACATGTGCATTGATACACCAGGTAGCAAAGTTGTACCTGGTGAATACATACACAACATGACATGGTATACATAACAATGCATAAATACATGATGTACATATACATAATACATACATAGTTTCTAATGGAGACATAGAATACATAATACACATGTAGTACATAGTATACATGACCATAAGATATCTCCAACAAGCTTGGCTCTATAAGATTTGCCTCTAAAGAGCAGCCATCACATAAAATCTTTACCACCTGAGGGGACATTGTGAAAAGAAAGGATATGTGATAATCTTACTCAAAATGGATTACCTGATCTATCCTCGGCAGATATAATTGGGGGCTGTTTGGAAAAAAGAAAGAAAAAAGTAAGCAGTATGCTTTACAAGAACTTTAGTGCATATGGTTGAAATAATGAAATTTATGGCCAAAATTCCTTGCAACTCAATACTAATATTGTAAACTGAAAAGAAAATATTGTTTAATAATTATTCTTTGCCAGGTGACTGAATGTCTTGTCTTCACTAATGGAAGTTAAACAAGAGTAAAATAGCAAGATTTCTTGGTAGAAATAAAAACAAACCCAAGATTTATTCACTATTCTCGACTCTGTCCAACTTGTTCACGATTTTCTTAAACTTAACAATAACAAATCTTGAACTTACCTCAGAGGCCATGTTATTGGATAACAAGAGGTGTATGGGATTCTTGACAATGAAAAGATCATGATGAACTCCAAGGTGAAAATCTTGAGGATCAAGAAGGAAGTCAGCAGCAGTTAAAACAAGTCTCTGGATAACTCGTGACAATGCCTGGATTCTTGTGTCCTTGTCCCTTGTATATAGACATTGCAGCCAATATCTCAAATGCTGAAACATGATACGTTTCCATCTTAATAAATCCCAACTATCTACACTTAACACATAAGGCTGTCGCCAAAGTACAGACACATGGTGTTCTGCTGAGTAAAATTCCCCCCCAAACATTATTTTGATATGTTTCTTTAGAATGAATAAATAATTAAGCTCGACTATTTTCCTTTATATATACAGCATGCCCTTCAAATTTTTGGTGGTGGTTAGGTTCTCAAAATGGCCGAGAATAGCCAAATCCAAAAATAACATCTGCTGATGGGAGGGGGGGGGTGTATATTTTGTACTCATGTGCAAATAAATGTATGTTCCCTTTCTGTGTTTGCCCTTAGGATAATTATTTCTTTTACCTGTATTTTATATGTGTGTGTATGTGTAGGCACACACACACAAAACACATACAAATAAATAATAACGGGAAAATCCTCTCACAAATAATCATAAACAAATGTATTAAAAATGCGAGTCTACCCTCAAGTCAACTCTGTGCTTTGTTTTTAATAAAGCACAGAGTTGACTTGAGGGTAGTACACTCACACACACACACACACACACACACACATATATACAGGTAAAGGAAATCACTGTCTCTCGAAAGAATGACTCCCTGTCCCGATCACAAAAATACCAGCAACTTTAAAACTACCCTTAGACATTCTTGGGTACATCCAGGGTGTCATCCGCGAATAATCAAGGTCAGCGAATTTTAAGGGCATGATGTACTGCATATGAACAGGTATGAAGCAGTTTATCCAGTGCCCCAGTATCTAGATAATAAAAGAAAATTTGCTATGTTCTGGATGAATTACTTATTTAAAATGAAAGGGGAAATTTCCAACCATTCCTCACCTGATTGATTGATTGACTGAATGTAGTACATGTAATTACATCCTTGGCGGCACAGCAGCTTAGGTCATATGTCGCCGAATTAAAATAAAAGCTTAGAAGACTAACACCAAATGAATGCAAGATAAATGACCTAATTAATAAATAACATAAAACTTTCGTAAGAAACATTTAAACGTTAATAGATAAACCTCAATGCTTGTGTAGAAGACCGGCTTCCTCCACAAAAGAGAGGATGTCCCCTCCCACGCTACCCACTCCCTCCCCCAGCACCAAAGAGAGAGGTGAGCCCCCCCACTCTGCACTGGGAGAGGTGCTTATGACGAAGATCCCTGAGACTGGGACAACCTGTACCTGAAGTTGATGGTGTAGCTGTAGCTGATGATGATGGTTTAGTCCCTCGAATAATAAAACTGTCTCAGGAACCTTGCACAGTTGCTTTCTTTTTGTAATCATAAATCCTTCTGTAAAGGTCATGCATTTTTCACATCTCTGTTAATTTTAATACTTCGTTCTGTTAATGGATCCATTTCACAAAATATGTTCATTGTTTGTTCCATGTAAGCAAATGCTTCTGCCTAACGCTTAATCATAAATTTGCGAGAAGATGAGGTAAGGGCATCTTTTGCTGTATTTGTGTTCTGATTGTAATCTTGTTCAAGTTATATCAGTTCTTTATTTGTTAGGTCTTCTCTATGACTGTTCAAGAGCTCCTGAGCATTCACTTCATCAACAGTGCACTTTCTTTTTCTTCTTTTTTTCATTCTTACGGATAATCTTTACTGTTGATTCCCCCATTCCCAAAGCGCGTGAAATATCCACAGACCTATCACCTTTTTCATATTATTTTAACACATTTAGTTTCTTGGCTAAGCTTTCTTTTAGCTTTTGAACCAGCACTACCAACACTTGCTCTCTTGCTCATGTTGAATACGGGCACAAAAATGTCATAAGATAACCGAGAAAGTTTTTCTCTTGTTCCTGTTCAGATACGTGAAAACAAAATACCTGCTAAGCTGCAACTGTTTATGTTTGTGATGCTGGCATCACCACCCACCAGCCTGGCAGCATCCTTGCACAAGGCGTGTTCATATATATACAGTAGACCCTTGCCATTCGCGAGGGATAGGCTCCAAGAAATGGCGCGAATTGGCGAAAGTGCGAATAACCACTTATATAATACCTTAGTGCACTAATAAACAGGTATACCTATACAGCCTCTACTCGACTTACGACAGGGTTCCGTCCCGACGACCAGGTCGTAAGTCAAATTGGTCATAAGTCGAAAAGGAAAAAATATAATACATACAAATTCTAAAATAGGTGTCTCTTTTTCTTCTCAGCACCACAAAACTCTCACTTTTACGCTTGCCAGGCAATTTAAAGGGAATTACAAATGAAAAATTTTTCAGTACACAGCGCGATCACTTACGTTGGGACTCGAAAATACGTAATAAGAAGAATATTTCATACGACTATGGCCGTCGTATGTCCGGGTTGTCGTAAGTCGAGGAGAGACTGTACTGTACTGTGTATGAGAAACTAAAGTCACAATACAGTCAGCCCTTAACATACGCGGGTTTATAATACACGGATTTGCAAATAAGCGGATTGCCCTGCCGGAGGAATATTCTGTACATTGAAGTAATTGAAGTACATTCAAATCGCGCGCCATTCAACTAGCGCGCGGCACCGAACATGGGACACCGCCCGCTCCCGCAACCTCACACACACACGCATAGCTCTCCCTCACTCAGTCAGTCTCGCTGTAATCACGCTTGTCTTGACATCAGCATTGTAGTTGCAAAAATATTACATTTCCGTGATTGTATTATATCAAGCACAGTATGAATAGAGTATCACTAATATAAGAGTATTTTAACCGAAAACTACTAAAAAAACGAGTAACATATCTTGAACATCGGAAGGCTAGGTAAAGTCTTTTGTTTTCATGTAGTTTATCCTAATTTACATTGAAATGCATTACGTTTCAGCAAAATTACTATTTATTTCTGAGAATATGGAAAAGTAATATTTTGCTGAAATGACGTACGTATTACAGTGGAAAGTGACGAAAGCAATGACTCGGTTTCTTTCGTTCAAAAGATGTTACCGTAATCGCTTTTCGAATGGTTTTCAGTTAACTGTTGTATTACAATAATATTCTATCCTAATTCACTTGTGATGCAACAGTATTTTTAACTTGGGGTGGGAAGGGGAGGGGTGGGGAGGGGTGGAGGGGGGGGTGGGGAGGGGAGGGGTGACAGTGACATGTTTGACAGTTAGCGCCGAAGGTCTCGTGTGTAATTCGAGTTTTTAAGACCAAATTTTTTGGCAAAAACTTGGGGGTCGTCCTATACATGCGTAATTGTTTTGTTAGGTTGAACCCGTGCATGATGGGTAGGGCGAGGAGCAACTTTTAAGCTTCAGTCATGAAAAATATTTACCATTTACTGCCAGTAAACAATGGAAACATAAATTATGTACCAATTACTAATGAAAAGTTGTGCAGTTCCTTCAGCAGATGAAGCTCACCAACTTATAATAGGCTAAATTACCTTACGACATGCTTTCAGTAGTCTATGTTGAAGTTCTTAGCATAGGCTAACTTATCATATCACATACGGTATCACAGTCCTCATTGATCTACAAAAAATACCGGTAATAAAAACCTTTTCGATATTTCACACTTAATATAATATCCAGTAATCCACTTCAACCTCCTATTGTTTACAACGATGCATGACGCACCACCAGCTGTTGAGTATCAGCTAGACAGTACACATGTTTTTCGAATCGTTTTCAGTTAAGAAACTGTTACATCACACATATATTTTACCTTAACTGTGCCTGAATGAATATATTCTCTGAAATAAATAGTAGTTTTGCTGAAACGTGATGTATTTTAATGTAAAATAGGATAAAATACACGACGTAAACAAAAGATTTTGCCTAACCTTCCGATGTTCAAGAGAAGTTACTCGTTTTTTAATAGTTTTTGGTTAAAATATTGTTATATTACAATGGTATTCTATTCATATTGTGCTTGATATAATGCATTCGCGGAAATGTAATATTTTTGCTGAAATGACGTACGTATTACAGTGGAAAGTGGGATAAAATCGTGACGAAAACAATGACTTTCGCTTTCTTTCGTTCAAAAGATGTTACCGTAATCGCTTTTCGAATGGTTTTCAGTTAAATAACTGTTGTATTACAATAATATTCCCTCCTAATTAACTTGAATAAATACTTGAATGGAAATATACAATATTTTTGTTGAAACTACCCGCGTTTGTGTAAATTGTCGTAATAATTAACGGTAAACAATTTGCCTTCGGCACTTGGTGTTCCAGGCACGGAGAGCCTCAGTTTATAGGATGTAGAGTGTTTTTACTGAAGGTTTTGTTGTTCCATTACCCTAAAAAACGTGGGTCGACCTATAAACGAGGAATATCATAAATTAACGATTTCTTGGTCAAAAAATCAGGGTCGACCTATAAACGAGGGAGGATTATAGACGAGTAAATACGGTATTTATGTCGTTTAGATTGAGTTTTTGTTTTTTGCTTATAAAATTTCATAGAAGTGACTGGGGAGAATATAATTTACATTGCTGGAATTCTTATAAAATAGTGATTAATCTGAATGCAAACATGCAATAGTTTGCACATATATTAAAGAGCACAATTTTCTTGATATTTACTCTACTGGAAATGAATGTAAACATGGAATAGATTACTGAATTACTGAATTGGCAGACTAGCCCATCAGCTGATGCTCACAACAAAACGTGATGTTCGTAAGGATTTCGTTAATCAAATTTTTGTTCGTTAACCGAATTGAAGCTTCTTATGGAAGGTAATTCGTAAACCGAAATTTCGTTAACCGAGGGACCACCGTAGTTGAAACCGCTTAAGAAAAATACGCTCAAGTTGCTAGTCTATTGTATCAAATAAGGGTGTTAAAATATCAATTGAGGATAAGTGGGGTAGTGATTATCAGGGTTGCAAATAGCAAAGTTTTCCTGTATTATGTGCTTTTATCACTATTTATGCATTATATTTTGGTACACACAGACTCAGTATAAAACTGTGGATAATGCAGATGACGTATACATAAAACAAATGACGTATAACCTTCTCCCCATCTAGTTATTATATAGTATCATATTTCTATCACACATGTTACTTGTATATTATTTGTTAATCAAGTGACACATTCCCCCAATTATGTAACTGTACATTTACAGCCTTCCGGCTACCATGCTCTTTCAATAGACTATTAATTAATTATTATCATTACGTACTGAATATTGGTAAAACATAAAGCGAGGACCCCCTGTACCACTATTGTCTCCACTGTATTTTTATGGGCTGGTACCCTGGGTTTGCAGTGATGAGTAGGGGGAGGGAATCCCATTCTGATTTTATCCAACAGCTGCCATCAAGTTCATGCAGCTAACACATACAGGCACGAAAAATGACCATAAACTGTTTCTGATGGTATATCTTTATACCAGAAACTAAAAAAATCCTGAAACCAGCAACCCCAAAGTCCCTAGGTACCCATATTTGGACTTAGTAGTGTACCACTTTTTTTACCCACATATTAAGGTATGATTTTTATTTCTTTTTCTTACCTCTATTTTTTGTAATGTGCGATCATCCTCATACACAGTCAAAGGAAGATTTGCGACTGCTCGACCAAGTTTTGTAGTAGATTCAGCTACACATTGTAGGTCTGGAAGACACACACGCCAACACTCGGCAGCAACAGTCCATACAGGGGTGCTCATTAGAGGATAACCAAGCAACAGCCCAAGTAGTATGTCCTCAGCAACTTTCACCACCTATGAAATAATAAAAAATAACTTTAATGTTCACTGCAAAATAAAAAATATATAATTAAAAATATATATACAGTCATGCGCCGGTTAACGTCAGACCGAACAACATCCGATCGCATATACGTCCGTGCCTCCCCCCCACCCAAAAAAAACACTTATGTGACGCCTGCTGGACCACCACTCCACGACCACCAAACGGAGACTTGATGATCCTCCCCCTACTGGTCAGATATTATATGTTAAAGGAATATGCTTCCATCCTTAGGCTTTTTTTAAGCATTTGCCTCCAGGTGTATTGTTAAACTACATCTATTGAGGATGAAATCTTTCACCTACAAATTGACAATAACACATTTGCTGTAATCAGGCATATCTAGTTGCCTCAACAATTGCAGCCCCAGTTGCAATTGGGGTTGCAATTTCAAATTCTGTGTCATTACTAAGGAATAACGAAGTCTCTGGTGCACTCTTAGATTAAGAGAGAAAACAGAGTACTCAAGCGTCCTGATGTGAGAGAAAACGGACTCGTATGATGGGGGACCAAATAAAAAAAAGCATAGCTACATGTTTTGTGGACTACAGTATTGAGCGTACCCTTTTCATCACTTTGTAATAAACCTAGCCATGCCTATGTGTGTTTATGATATTTACCATAACATTATATATATATATAAATATATATATTTAGTGGGTCTAAATGGTCGTAAAATGGGAAACTTGGGGTTGGGTGCCTGGAACCAATTAGAATAAATCACATAGGATCTGTACTTTTGTTATCGCGTTTTTCGTTATCACGCATTCGGCAGGGTCCCAATTAGGCGCGATAACCAAGGGATGAATATACTGTACTGTATATACTTGTGACACTGGCCAGTTGCTTCTGGTGTTATGGTACAGGGGTACCAAGTGACAGCACTAGGATCCCGCTTCCTCTATCAAGGAATAAGCAATTGAAATTTACATTGAAAAAAAAAAAAATTCAAATAATGAGACATAGCGAACCTAAATGGCCCTAGAGCGGGCGCAGTCACGTTTGCGTCTTGTATGCATCGCGTATTCTTATAGACTGTGCTGCCAGGCGTATAATGATACAGTACAGTAACTATATATCCATAATATGTTTTGATAGATATAAGAAATGCCTATGTTACTGTTTCTGTTTTTTGTCTATTGTAGTGTACAATACATTACTTTTAATTTGATTTCCTTACTTACGAAATAAGAAGTTTACAGTGGTCCCTCGGTTAACAATGGACCTAAGTGCAAACCTGTATTGTACATGAACTAAATGATAGCGGTACTAAAATTGTTATGTCTATTGCAAATATAGATTGTTTATACAGGTATTCAAATAAATCACTATCTTACAAGAATCCCAGCAATGTAAGTTATATTCACCCAGGTCGTTTGGGTGGCAAATTATGAGAAGAGCTTAGTCACTCTTAAGTAATGATAAATAAACACGCAGGCAGGCCTTCAGCGCCAACTGTCAAATCTTATCTCAAATTTATAAACAAACAAACGCCAGACATTCTGGTGCCCTCCCCCCCCCGTGGTCTTCCCACCACACCTCGTGTTCCAAGATAAAAGTTTGGTGATTTCTTTATGTTTATTTTATATAATATCTCAGACTAAAGTTAGGATAATATAATTTGCATTGCTGAAATCCTTGCAAGACAGAGATTAATTTATATATAAGCGTCATATATTTTGCTCAAGATACAAAAAATGTAGTACATTAGTGTACAATACTGTAGTACATTTTATAAAAAGTTTTTCAACTGTATTTTTGGGTAGATTTACATAAATTTCTTCATTTATTTTCACCCATTTACATGCACACACCATACTAAAAGAAAAGTAATAGAAATAAATGACGTTAGTACAATGCTGGAGTGCACATGTACTAATTTGATTATGGTACTAAAATTGTTTTGTCTAGTGCAAATTATAGCATGTTTATATTCAAATAAATCAATATGTTACAAGAATCCCAGCAATGTTAATTATATTCACCCAGGTCATTTCACTGGCTTTTTATAGGAGAGAAGCTTAGTTACCTAAGAACTGATAAATATACACGCATTAGACCTGGGCCTGTGCCAACTGTCAAACGTACTACCTCCCCTCCCCCCTCCCCCCTCGCTCGCTCCCTACCTCCATCTCCCCCATCTGCCCGGCGTTGCTGGAATCCTTGTAAAACAGTGAAAATTTTAATATAAACGTCATGTATTTTGCACAAGAGATCAAAATTAATCACCTGTGTCACATTACAGTAGTGATTTAACAGTAAAAGTGTATATGTACGTATATAGTATTCCACATACAGTATTACCCCGCTTTACTCGGTTTCACTTTACGCGATTTCTCATATACGCGGTGCCTCGCCAGAACCGAACTTTCACTTTCCGTGGTTCATCTACCCATATACGTGTGAAGTATAATTTTTTTTTTTTATTTAGCTCATAAAATTCATACACATTACCCGGCCAGAATATAATTTACATTGCTGGAATTCTTACAATTTGATGATCATTTTGAATATAAACATCATAGATTTTGCATTAGACATACAAATTTTAGATCTAATGTTTACTCTGAGTAAATATGTTATCTTTTGTGCAAAATATATGACATTTATATTCAAAATATTCCTGGTCTTATAAGGAATCCAGCAATGTCAATTATATTATCCCAACTTTAGTCTGAAGTATTATTTATTACTAAAAAGGTAAATATTCTGGTTTTCCCACACATTTATCTGGTAGGGAGGGATCGACCGACCATCTGGCACGTGTGAAGAATATTTTTTTTTTTATTAACTGAAGATATTTGTTTTAGCTCATAAAATTCATACAAATTACCCGGCCAGAATATAATTTACATTGCTGGAATTCTTACAATATGATGATCATTTTGAATATAAACATCATAGATTTTGCATTAGACATACAAATTTTAGATCTAATGTTTACTCTGAGTAAATATGTTATCTTTTGTGCAAAATATATGACATTTATATTCAAATGTTCCTGGTCTTACAAGGAATCCAGCAATGTCAATTATATTATCCTAACTTTAGTCTGAGGTATTATTTGTTACTAAAAGTTAAAATTAGTTTTTTCACCCTACATTTCTCTGGTATGGAGGGAAGGTGGGGGGTGGGGGGGGAGGGTTGGGACCGACCAACCATCTGGCGCTGTTGGAAGAGGGGGGAGGCAAGTTGGGGTACTTTGATTGACAGATAGTGTCGTGAAGAATATATTTTTTTTATTAACTGAAGATATTTGTTTTAGCTCATAAAATTCATACAAATTACTAGTTTCTAGCGCGCCAAACAGCCACTGAACACACCAAGCTTGGCATCAGTTTGATTATCGGTTCAGAGGAAGGAACATCTTGTTTGAGACTCTTCAACATAAATGCTTTTTTTCTGTGTTTCCAGTCAAATTATTGGTCATTCTGAAGTTTATTTTACATATTGACAATATATAATGCAGTGCAGTGTTGATTTAAAGAAAATAATCTTGAATTAAACCAAGTGAACTAAAATTTTATGGGTGAAATGGCAGCATGGGGTGACTTCTCTTCCAACCCAATGCCTTCTCTTCTCCCTTCTCCTCCACCCCCACTTCCTTCTCTTCTCCCTTCTCCTCCTCCACCTCCCACTTCAAATTCACATAAGCATCATCATCCAGGAGCCTTCTACATACACACCTCAATGTAAGTGTACTTTACTGCATTTTTTTTACTTTAGGTAAATTTCAGTGAGCTGGAACCAATTAACCACAAACCCATTGAAACAATGGTTTCGGTTATCGAAATTTTCGGTTAACGAACAACCTTCTGGAACGAATTGTGTTCGTTAACTGAAGGACCACTGTATAAACGTCATATATTTTGCACAAAAGATACAATTTTTGCTCTGTCTAATAAAATTCTTAAATTAGATCTAAAATTTGTATGTCTAATGCAAATTTTAGCTTGTTTATATTCAAATTAATCACTATCTTTTAAGAATTCCAGCAATGTAAATTATATTCTGGCCGGGAAATTTCTATGAATTTTATAAGCTAAAAACAAAAATCTCGAGTAAATAAACTAATTATACTTCGCCAGACGCTATCTGTCAATCAATCAATCTTCCCACGCTCACTGGCTCCCTCCCTCCCTCCCTACCCAGACAAAAGTTTGGTGGTCTCGTTAGGGTTTAAAGTGTTTATCTTATAAAATATCTCAGACTAAAGTTAGGAGAATATAATTTTCATTGCTGGGATCCTTGCAAGACAGCTAATAATTTGAATATAAAAGTCATATATTTTGCTCAAGAGATAAAAATTGTAGTACATTAGTGTAGAGTACTGTACAGTAGTACCCCGATTTACGTGGTCAATTGAACCCACAGGGTACCACGGAAAGTGAAAACCGCGAAAAGTGAACAACAGAACATATGGGATTAATTCCAATAGAGACTGGCCCGACCCCCAAACTCTACTTTTTCCGACACAATACCTATGTTGTAGTAAAAATAACATCTAAATTTTATGATGGTATGCTCACACAATTAATATTTAAGAGAAATACAGTCGCCAGGTTAATGTCCATTCAAATAATGGACTCAAATCCCCCCCCCCCTCTTCCCAGCTCACTAGCTCCTACCTCTCTGAGAAATGTTTGGGTGAAACCACTAGATTTTAACGTTTAGTAATAAATAATACCTCAGACTAAAGTTAGGATAATATAATTGACATTTCTGGATTCCTTGCAGGTCAGGGAATATTTTGAATGTAAACTTCATATATTTTGCACAAAAGATAAAATATTTGCTTTGTGTAAACCAAATTATTACATTAGATCTAAAATTTGTATGTCTAATGCAAAATCCATGATGTTTATATTCAAAATGATCATCATATTGTAAGAATTCCAGCAATGTAAATTATATTCTGGCAGGGTAATTTGTATGAATTTTATGAGCTAAATAAAAAAAAATTAAAAATAAATTATACTTCACTGCGCGTATGAGTAGATGCACCGCGGAAAGTGAAAGTCCGGATCTGGCAAGGTACCGTGTAAATGAGAAATCGCGGAAAGTGAAACCGTGTAAAGCGGGGTAATACTGTAGTACATTTCATAATGTAAAGTTTTTCAACTGTATTTTTGGGTAGATTTACATAAATTTCTTCATTAATTTTCATCCATTTACATGCACACACCATACTAAAAGAAATGTAAAAGAAATAAATGACCTTAATGCAAAGCTGGAATGAACATGTACTAAATTGATTACTGTACTAAAATTGTTATGTCTAGTGCGAATTATAGCTTGTTTATATTCAAATTAATCACTATCTAACAAGAATCCCAGCAATGTAAATTATATTCACCCAGGTCATTTCACTGACTTTTTATAAGAGAGAAGCTTTGTCACTTAAGGACTGATACATAAACACGCATTAGACCTTGGGCGCCAACTGTCAAAAGTACCACCTCACCTCCAGCTCCCCTCATCCCCCACGTTCCCTCCCTCCCTCCCTCTCTCTCCCACCATCTGCCCAGCCAGGGTTTTAGGCTTACAGTTTTTATCTTATATAATGTCATAGACTAAAGTTAGGAGAATATAATTTGCATTGCTGGAATCCTTATAAGACAGCGAATAATATGAATATAAACGTCATATATTTTGCACAAGAAATAAAAATTAATCATCTGAATCACATTACAGTAGTGATTTAAGAGTAAGAATGTATATGTACGTATATAGTATTCCACATACATGTAAGTATAAATACAAAGTTTATTGCTGGGGATGTGGTGTTGGTTCCGAGGCAGAGGGCAGATAATTATTGGCCCTCACCTGTATCACTTGTATCACCTTTATCACTGTCCACCAGAGAGGCTTGCAGGGCCTCTTTGTCAAACCCCTCAAAGTCCATATCCTCACTATCACTATCACAGACTTGGGCTGGCAGTGGTGGGTGGCGGGTGAAGAATTCTGTAATGTTTTGTTGACTGGGTGACCTAGCACGCACCCTGCCCGCACCGCTTCCCATGTAAATGATGGAAGGTACTGCGTAACTAATAATTGCCGGTCTGGCCAGGTGCCGCGTAAATGACCAACAGTGTAAAGGAAATCCGCGTAAATCGAGACTAAACTGTATATATACGTACACATACACTCTTACTCATAAATCACTACTGTAATGTGATACAGGTGATTAATTTTTATCTCTTTTGCAAAATATATGACGTTTATATTCAAATTATCCGCTGTCTTGCAAGGATTCCAGCAATGCAAATTATATTCTCCTAACTTTAGTCTATGACATTATATAAGATAAAAACTGTAAGCCTAAAACCCTGGCTGGGCAGATGGGGTAGAGGGAGGGAGCGAGCAGCAGGTGAGCTGATATGTTTGACAGTTGGCGCCGAAGGTCTAATGTGTGTTTATTCATCAATCCTTAAGTGACTCAGCTTCTGTCGTATAAAATACCAGTGAAATGACCTGGGAGAATATAATTTACATTGATGGAAATCTTGTAAGATAGTGATTAATTTGAATATAAACAAACTATAATTTGTACTACATATAAAAATTTTTAGTACCATAATCATTTAGTACATGTACAGTACAGGTTTGCACTTAGGTCATTTATTTCTTTTGTCCCAAAGTCAGTACACAGACAAAATTTTCATCTGTAATTCACTTTAAATGGCTGGCAAGCTTAAAAGTGAGTGTTTTGTGGTGCTGAGAAGAAAAAGAGACTCCTATTTTAGATTTTTTATGTGTTATTTAAGCATTTCCGACTTACGACCTGGTTGTCGGTCCCTAACCCTGTCATAAGTCGGGGAGCAGCTGTATAAAATATACTAAACTAATGTACTAAAATTTTTATCTCTTGTGCAAAATGTATTACGTTTATATTCAAATTATTCAATGTCTTGCAAGGATTCCAGCAATGCAAATTAAATTCTCCCAACTTTAGTCTGTGATATTATATAAGATAAAAACTTAAAGCCTACTGTATAACCACCAAACCCTTGCTGGGAAGGGAGAGGTAGGGAGGGAGGGGTGACAGTGACATGTTTGACAGTTAGCGCCGAAGGTCTAGTGAAGTATTTATTTGTTTATTTATGTCCTTTAGATTGAGTTTTTGTTTTTTGCTTATAAAATGTCATAGAAGTGACCGGGGAGAATATAATTTACATTGCTGGAATTCTTATAAGATAGTGATAAATTTGAATGTAAACATGCAATAGTTTGCACTCGACTAAAATTTGTACATTATTTTGATTATATGTACAGTACACCTTTGCCCTTAGGACACTGTGTTCATGTAAATGAGTTTCAATAAATGAACAAAGTTACATATATCGAGCCAAAAATATTAGTTAAAAAACTTTATGTAGACAGAGCTTGGATGGCTAAATTTTAGAATGACCAATAATCTTAATATAAAAAATGCAAAAATATTCAGGAACACAACCGTCTTGATATTTACTCCACTGGAAACGAATGTAAACATAGAACAGATTACTGAATTGGCAGATTAGCCCATCAGCTGATGCTCACAACAAAACGTGATGTTCGAAAGGATTTCATTAATCAAATTATTGTTCGTTAACCAAATAGAAGATTCTTATGGAAGGTAATTCGTTAACCGAAATTTCGTTAACCGAACCGTTTGTTAACCGAGGGACCACTGTACTATAAAGAACAAATTTTTTTTTATTCTAGGAGATGGGCTGAGGTGCATCTGGGTAGACTCTCAGTCTTTTTAGTATTTTGTGTTTCTCTCCAGTACCAAACTAAATTATTCCATTGAAACAAAACTTCGATTTAGTGCGAATTCGGTTTCAAGCGACCTCTCTTGGAACCTATCTCGTGTTATATCGACATTCTACTGTACTTTCATTTACTATTTTTTGTCATTCTATTTTTTCTTTTGTTTTAAATTAAGTGATTTTATATGTAAGGACTTAAGCTATGATATAGTGGGATTTTAAACATTGTTCTGTAAGTACAGTATGCACATAGCATGTTTCCTGACTTACGTACAAATCTGTCTTAAGAAAGTCCTCAGGAACAGAACCCGTTCGTAACACAGGGACCCTTTGTAGTGGTACAGGCATAGGGAGAGCATCTCTCGCGTATGCTTCTTGTGAACGGTCCCATTGAACTTAATTAATTTTTAAACCATGCAGGTACTCAGGCACGGAAGAAAACAAAAACAATTTACATTGGATTATGAGAGCTGCAGCTAGCCCACGGGGTTTGAAATAACAATGAAGGGTACCAGGTCGTTTGACCTGTGCCCGGGTGGGCTATTCCGTAAAAAAAAAAAATAGGGGGTTTTAAAATGTCAATTGAGGATAAGCAAAGTTGCAAATAGCCAGGTATGCCTGAACTGTACATGCAAAAACAATAAAAAAGGGAAAGGCAACAGGTGGTGATTACCTCAGATAGAGAGCATCTCGCAACTTAATTCATGCAACTTGCCTCTTTATTATCATCAACTAATCCACAGTAGAGAAGACATCTGATGATTGTTGAAGACAGGAGGAAGAGAATTCTTGGAGATCGACTCATTGATGAATCTACTGCCTGTGATATCCCAACACTATCCTCCATGAGATGCATAACTGATTTATATCTGCAAGAAGGGTCAATTAAAAGAAAAGTACTGTACATACCATAAACCCTTCGCAACAGACATCAATAAACCTTTTGATTTTTTATCCCAACACATATTCATTAACAAAATAATGAAAATTACAATGTAAAGTGATTAAAAATGGTAGCAAAATCTAATTTATATTAACAAGCTCAGGTCAGAAGCATAAATTCCTTGTCTAGCCCAAGACACCTCCAAAACAGTCTCCAAGAGATTGATCTGTACTCTCTTCTATCCTCTGCAAACTACTCCCCCCCCCCCATCACCACCCATTTCAGTGATGTAGTATTATGAGGATTACCTTTTCATAACACATTTTATCACATCACAAGGGTTTTCAACAAAGGCACGCTTTCAATAAATGAAAATTACTGTACATACTGTACCTTAATTTACAAGAAAATAAAACCAATCTTATAATTAAAATACACTTTATGTAATAAGGCAAAAGACCACTTACCCACTTAGCCTTACTGTAACATCTGGAAACTGAAGAATTTGTAACAAGAGGTTTCTTGCTTTATCTAACTGCTCTTCATTAACACATCCAATAGCAATCTGCTTCGCCATACCTCGAACAAATTTTTCTACAAACACAGTACTTTGATGAACACTGGACACTGAGAGAGACTTCACTGCCAGATCAAGGAACTCCTCAAGCTGTGAAGATGATGTCTGCAGAAATCTTGCAGTAGCTTGGAGACCTTTGGTAGCAAACAGTACACATCTGAATTGGTCAGCTTCAATGGACTTTACCTGACTTAGATACTGTAGCAAAATGTTGTGCTGATTATTATACTCAAAGTAAAAGCCACCATCATATAATACTAACATGAGCCCTTCTGACACATCACCATCAATGACCTGTAAATGACAAAAAAGATGAAATATTTTCATGTACTGCATATTTATAATATCTACATATCAACAGATTTTAATATATCATTCAAGCTGAAAATCAAACAATATTCTAACCTGGGAAGAAGCTTCAAGAGGAATAAAATCCACAAGAATTCTGCACAAGACCAATGACAAACAATGGATGTTTAAGATCTGCTTTTCAGCTTCTGTTTGAATTGCTGTTAAATTCTTAGCTTCATAACTGGCCATGATAAGGTAAGAAATGCATCGTATAACCTGAAAAGATATGGTAAATAGATCTTGAAATCCTATTTTCTAACCGAGATGTGATTCATAAGCATCATGCCTCCTATGTGCAGATTAAGTGAAAAGAATGTATCAGTTACTAACAGGCAGTATAAAAGTATCAGATCAGATGTGAAATTATCTGTTAATCGTCCAATATAAAAGGTGAACTGGCGATGTAAGGAACACATCCACCTTATTCCTTAATTTGAATGAATTTTTTTTATTTATGTCATTGCATTTCTCAAGAATGCATCCCCGACATAAACCAGGGTATGTATTATTGTACAATATCTAAAAACAGTATCTGTTCACACACTGTGAGAAACATGGGACCATGTACGCCATGGGCTCTTAACACTCGTCTTGCCCGCGGTGTCCACTGTTTCTTTGCGCATATCAGTCACACTAGAATAACCCGTTATAGAACGTCTTTCTTTTCTCACACGGCCAAACTGTGGAATGCTCTGCCTTCTTCTATTTTCATACTCGCACAACTGTCTCACTTCAAAAAGCTGGTTTTCCGGCATCTTCGTGGTGTACAGTGAGGTCTGCTCTAACGCGATTTATGAATTAGGAACGATATTTGTATAACGCGAATGCTTGTTTGCTATAACGCGATTTTTGCTTACTATTTTTCCAATTTTGTGGTATTAATTGTGAATATGGTAAAGAAGAATATCTCCAAGAAGCGTTCTGGTGATAGAATTCCCGGTGATGATCGTAAAAGAAAGGATATAACACTTGAAGAGAAGCTCGATGTTATCAACCTCAAAATCACCCTTCTCCCCCATCAAGTTACATTCATATTTTTTCAAGGTAAAGTGTTACATTTACTGTATGATTTCATTATTAGATATAAATGTAACATTTATTTAGACTGTGCTATCCTTTGTGTTAGGCTAACTACTAATTTTTTCGATTTCGAGTAATCTGCACCTAACCCTATTTTCTCAATAAGCCCTGTTATTTCTATTATGCGATTTTCTATAACACGATATTTTACAAGAACACAATTATCGCGTTATAGCAGAACTACCTGTATATTAATATACAGTCGGCCCTTAACACACGCGGGTTTAGCATACGCGGATTGCCCCGCCGGAGGAATATTCAGTACATTGAAGTACATTCAAATCGCGCGCCATTCAACTAGCGCACGGCACCGAACATGGGACACCGCCCGCTCCCGCAACCTCACACACACACACGCATAGCTCTCCCTCACTCAGTCAGTCTCGCTGTAACCACACTTGTGTTGACATCAGCATTGTAGTTGCAAAAACATTACATTTCCGTGAATGTATTATATCAAGCACAGAATGAATAGAATATCACTAATATAAGAGTATTTTAACCGAAAACTATTAAAAAAACGAGTAACATATCTTGAACATCGGAAGGCTAGGTAAAGTCTTTTGTTTTCATGTAGTTTATCCTAATTTACATTGAAATGCATTACGTTTCAGCAAAACTACTATTTATTTCTGAGAATATGGAAATGTAATATTTTTGCTGAAATGACGTACGCATTACAGTGGAAAGTGACGAAAGCAATGACTCGCTTTCTTTCGTTCAAAAGATGTTACCGTAATCGCTTTTCGAATGGTTTTCAGTTAAAAAACTGTTGTATTACAATAATATTCTATCCTAATTTACTTGTGATGCAACAGTTTTTTAACTGAAAACCATTCGAAAAGCGATTACGGTAACATCTTTTGAACGAAAGTCATTGTTTTCGTCACGATTTTATCCCACTTTCCACTGTAAAACGTACGTCATTTCAGCAAAAATATTACATTTCCGTGAATGTAGTATATCAAGCATAGTATGAATAGTATATCATTGTAATATAACAGTATTTTAACTGAAAACTATTACAAAAACGAGTAACCTCTCTTGAACATCGGAAGGTTAGGTAAAGTCTTTTGTTTTCGTCATGTATTTTATCCTATTTTACATTGAAATACATCACGTTTCAGCAAAACTACTATTTATTTCTGAGAATATATTCATTCAGGCACAGTTTAGTTAAATATACATGTGCTGTAACATTTTTTTAACTGAAAACGATTCAAAAAACACGTACCCTCTAGCCCTGTTCAAGGAGAAGACTGGGAGGAGCTGTTTGGTGCTTAAGACGATGACAAGGAAAATGATTTTGATGGATTTTAATGAAAATATTCAGAAATATGGTATCTTAGTATTTATTCAAGTGAATTAGGATAGAATATTATTGTAATACATCATTAATACCATGGGCCGATTTTTCAAACTCAAAAAAAAAAAATTCGCCTCCGTATGACACACCCTAGTGGGGTATGCTATAACGAACGGATCCTACTACGAATATTCCTATAACGAACGGTTTTACCTATAAAATTGAGAATGCTATAACGAACGCAACTCCTACAACGAACGCGGATGAATATGGGACTATTTCGCCTGGCGCATGAATATTGTTGTACCGCGACCCACAACAAGAGCATCAGGCACCATCTTTGTCTCATTGTGTAGCCAGTGCACCACTGTTATTGTTGAAATTTCGTCTTTTGATGTGGAAATAGAGTTATTGTATAAATATTTCGTTATACAAGTGTACAATTGTGACAATGAATCGTCCAAGGCGAGTGAGAAAGCTCATAACTCTTGAAACTAAGAAAGAAATCATAAAGAAACATGAGGATGGAACAAGCATTGCGAAACTTAGTGATAAATGGCTAAATCGACTATATGTATGATTTTAAAGAATAAAGAGGAGTTGAAAACAGTGCAAGTGGCTAAGGGAATCTCTAGACTTAGCAAAGCAAGGTGTAATGTGATTGAGGAGATGGAAAATTTACTCTTAGTGTGGATAAAGGAGAAAGAAATGGCAGGTGATAGTGTTAGTGAAGCTATAATTTGTGAGAAGGCCAGACAATTGTTTGAGGACCTTAAAGCCAAGACTCCCAGTGCAAGTGATAGTGATGTGCCAGTGTTTAGGGGTACCAAGGGGTGGTTTACTGGTTTCAGAAGGAGAAATAAAATACATAGTGTTGTGAGACATGGTGATGCTGCTAGTGCCGATAAGAAAGCAGCTAAGGAACACCATGACATTTTTTTGAATATCATTAAAGAGGGAGGCTTTGTTTCTCAGCAGGTATTCAACTGTGATGAAACTGGACTTTTTTGGAAAAAAATGCCTCGCCGTACATACATTACCAAGAAGGAAACTTCTGTCTCTGGCCATAAGCCAATGAAAGACAGGCTTACCCTCCTTCTTTGTGCTCATGCTTCTGGTGACTGCAAAATAAAGCCACTCCTTGTGTACCATGCAGAAAACCCCAGAGCTTTCAAAAACATTAGGAAGACCCGCCTTGGTGTTATGTGGCAGTCAAACCCAAAGGCTTGGGTGACCAGGAATTTATTCTCTGAGTGGGTGATTGAGGTGTTTGGACCCAGTGTTCGGGAATACCTCAGGGAGAATAATCTTCCACTGAAAGCTTTGTTGGTGATGGACAATGCACCAGCCCACCCTCCTAATTTGATGGTTGAATTGCCAGAGGAGTTCAACTTCACCACTGTGCACTTCTTGCCACCCAACACAACACCTCTCATCCAGCCTATGGATCAACAGGTAATTTCTAACTTTAAGAGGCTGTACACAAAGACACTGTTTAGAAAATGTTTTGCGTCCACTTCTTCCAGTGATGTTAGCTTGAAGGAATTTTGGAAGAGTCACTTCAATATAGCAGACGCTGTTTTTTTAATTACCTCAGCCTGGAGAGAGGTTACTGTGAGGTGTCTTTGTGCTGCTTGGAGGCCATTGTGGCCTGAATGTGTCCTTCAAAGAGACTTTGAAGGCTTTGAAGAGTTAGAAGAAGAGGCTGTTGTTCATGAAATTGTGTCTCTGGGCAATTCCATGGGCCTGGAAGTGGATGATGATGTTGAGAAGTTGGTGGAAGAGCACAATAAGGAATTGTCCACTGAGGAGCTGCTTGAGCTTCACAAAGAGGAAAATGAGACACTGAAGCGGAGCTTAACTTCTGAGGAGTCAGGGGAGGAGGAGGACAAGGAGGAAAGCCGCATCATTCCAGCCAAAGATCTCAAGGATGCGTTCTTTTGCTGGAGCAAACTGTCCAAACTTGCTGAGGATTATCATCCTGATGTTGGTTCTGTGCAAAAGGCCATCAGTGTGTTTAATGACAATGTTATGAACTACTTTTGGAAGGTCCAGAAATCAAGGTTGAAGCAGCCAACCCTGGATTCCTTCTTTACAAAGGTAACAAAAGAACCTACAGACAAAGTGCCTGTGAGACAGTCACCAAAGAGGGCTAGGAAGGATGACTCCTCTCCTTCCACCTCTTCTCTATAATTCACTCCTCCCCCCTCCCCCTCTGCCTCCTGTCCTGCATGCTGAACAACACTAAGGTAAGATAAAGTACCGTATTTTTTACATTTTCCACAGAATTTTTTCAGTGTTAAGTGGTTGTATTTGGGGGCCTGGAACGGATTAATCCTATAATGAACGAATGCTATAACGAACAAGGTTCTGGAACCAATTACGTTTGTTATAGCATACCCCACTGTATTACTGTAATGATAAGTAAATAACATAAGGAAGAGGAAGTGGTAGCAGACATGCTGGAACCTTTGAATGACATTCCTGGGACCTTTAAACCCGGTAAAAAGTTTACAGGTGTGATTTACACTGTTACCATATCACTTTAGGGTTGTTTTAATATAAAAAGAAAGAAAAAAGGAAAATCTTTGACCATCTGGGCACGACGTGGTTTAATTAACTGACCATCTACAGATTAATAAACAGTACACATATTATTATACTGTAGTACAGTAATATATAGTTACTAATTAATGAATAACAAATAAGCAATATTGTATCATGAATGACAGTTGTTTGATGAATATTAGTGACGCTTGTAGTAGAATGAGTAAGACAGGCAGCGTGTCAGTGAGACAGTAGGAGGGAGGAGGGGGACAGTGAATATTGTACGGCTCTGCCCTGGTTGTAGCTAATCCATCTCTGCATCACTGAAATTATGATTTAGGTGATGAAAATAGAGTTAGTGGTGATAATGGTGGTGAGGGAGATTGTAGTAAGTGGTGAGGAGGTGATGCATCTATTGGTTTCTTTGGTAACACTGTGCCTGAACCAAGTAACTGCTGTATATAAATTGTATGCAAAGGTTATAAATCAAGTAATCCTGTTTTTTAGACCTGCTAAACATACTTATACAATCCTATGATATAAATAAATACTATAGTGCTACCTCTACTCTCTCGGCAAGGCACACATCGATAATGAGTGTGTATTTATTTGTCCAGCTGTATTCTAAATAAAATACCAAATTGGAACCCATTAAGTTGCTAGTTATATATTAAGCCAAAGTAATTTGAAGATAATTAAAGTAAAGGTTTCCAGCAATATTGATAGTTACATAAATTATAAGGCATCATGACATTAACAGATGAAATTTTCTAACAACAGGTACGACCGTGAGCATATTTACAAGGAGTTCTCGTAGTTGACACAGCACCTGTAATGTGTGGGGCTATATGTCTGTCCATGGTGTAGGGCAGCGCTTCTCAAACTATCTGATGTGGCGGACCGGCATGGTTTTTTTTCAATGTGCCACGGACCAGCGAGCGAAGCGAGCCAATCCCGGGGCCTATAGGCCCCCCCCCCAGGAAAATCTTTGGAGATATGTCCTATTTCAGGGGCATTTTGAGACTATCTGTACTAAACATGAAGACATGATGTCTTATTCATTCTAAGGCCAATCATCATTGACGTAACAAGTCTTCCCAGCGTGCCAGGGACCAGTACCATATTTGTGCCATACAATTAATTGTTTACGATCAGAGAAAATATTATTTGAACATTCGTAGTAATATTATTTTATACAGGAAAAATATAATGAATATAAAAGTGGGTTGGGATGGGGTCCCAAATGACAAACACGCAGATACCTGTATGATGCTCTCTGTTCCACTTCTTGATGGTAACTAACCACTAACCTGTGACCTGACATCACAGACTGCTGATCCACACGTGTGGAATAGCAGGGTTGCCAGCTGTGTGACACCCTTCACGGCTGGCACGCATAGTAAAAAATCGGCCATTTCTTTTAATGGGATGCATACATTTATTTTATCCGAAATTAAATAACTACCATACTTAAAATAAAAAGATTTATGTTTTGGGTGGATATGGCGTAACTGGTGGCCGAGAAACGTGGCAATTCTGGCAACACAAGGTGATGCGCCCTATTGATATCCCCAGGTGTGGTTCCCACAGAGTCAAACGCCACATCATCATGAAGGTGTTGTTATACGTATTTCAGTTCGCTGTTTTGCTGTTCATTATATCGCATTCGTTAGTTGCATAGCAATGACTTTTAACATGAGTGAGTAAATGAAAAATATAGCCATAATAAATATAAAAACTACAATGAAAATGTAAAAAAAAAAAGACCGAGTAAAAAACTAGTGTATGGTGTAAAAAAAAAAAGACCGAGTCAGATGTCCCGGCAGTGTCACGTGGTGTGGAACGTGACTATCATTTCTTTCTTTTCTGAAAACTCTCCGCGTACCGGCAGACGATGGCTCACGGACCGGCACCAGTCCGCGGACCACACTTTGAGTAGCACTGGTGTAGGGGACTTGGTTCAAATTGACGGGAGAGTTACAGCACAGAAGTATCTGGACATTTTGAAGAATTTTTTCTTGCCCTCTCTGCAGGAGAGAAATTTCCCCTCCCCCCTGGACCTATTGTTTTCGTTCATGACCGGTGCCCCATACACACGGCTAGAGTTGTCCAGCAGTGGTTTGCCGACCGTGAGAATTTGCAGCTGCTGGATTGGCCTAGTTGGGGGGCTGACATGAACCCTTTGGAAAATTTATGGCGAATATTGTGAGCACTTGGGAGACTGCGAGGGAAAGAACGTCTGCAGAGTTGTTCTCCCACACCAAGGCAGAATGGGAGGTATTTAAGGCCAAACATGATATCCTCCGCAACCTTGTTAGATCAATGCCCGAAAGACTTAATGCTGTTATCAACAAAGAAGGTGGGTGGACAAGATACTTAAGTGAAGAATTTACGTCAGTGAAAAAAAAGTCTTTTCCATAAGTCCAGTGCCTAATGCCGACAAACCAAGACAAGTTTACTGGCATAGTGTTCCTCTGTCGATGATATCTGATGCCCAAGTCCAACTTCATATCGTCACTTATTAGGACAGCCTTTGTGAAAGCAAAAATCTAGTCACCTCTCAAGAGCTTCGCTTTCACTAGGTCGTCTCTCATACTTCTGAATGAAAATTTTGTTTTAAATTTTATATACTTTATTTTCTCATTAATAATAAGTGACTATTTTATTTTTTTTGTGATAACAATCACTTCTTGTTTCATTCCACGTAATAATACAACTTCCCATATTTTTTATTGCAATATTCCTATCCTCTAAAAATAAGCTTACTATAACAATGGGTATTATAACTAAATATTTGGTCAACATCAACCATTGACTGGCACCTGTTCTCCCATGCTATCCTTACTAAGATGTGCTGCAGGAATGTTAAGATCAAGTGTTTCTCTGGCCTCCAACTTTATATTAAAAATTACCATTTACAGGGCAAAAAATCAAACATTGTAATACTACTGGAAAAAACGTATTGTTGAATTTAATAATCCCTTCAAGTTCCATTACTTTGTAATGTATAAAATATTATATTATGTAACACGCAACTCAAGAACTCCCCCATCTTTCCCCCCTCTCCCTCCCACCCCCGCACACACACACACTGTTACCAGATCGGCAGCTGATTCTACCTCTCTGGTCGTCTGGCTGGGTGTTCAACATGGAAGAGTCCATGACTGTACCTACCTCCCAGACGTCCTTATTTACCTGAACAAAACCTCAACCAGTTGTTGCGCCACAGAAAAAACCAACATCCATCATACGGGACTTAAATGTGCTCCACGCCATACAGACTGCAGAGCCAAAGTCAAGATGCAAGAACATTGTGGAGAAGAATTCTCACTCTCGAGCGGGTTGCCTCAGAGCTCTTGACTCTCACCAACCCTTTACACGCTCTACACTGCTGACCTGCCACCCTCAATCGTCGACAGCGAGTATGTCATGTATGCCGACTATATAACACAGATCGTCACCTGCCCAGGAAGGTCCACGCCAAGGATGGCGCAACTCACTGTTCAGGCAATAGTGGATATCCAGGAGAATTAAAATAATTGGAAAATAAAAACAAACAAACAAGAAATTTGAGGTCATACCAAAGCCAAATTCAAGCCGGCCCCATTGACGATCGACAATGAAGAGATTGAGTACTGTACTATAAACAAGGCAGGTTGCTCAGCCTCATCATCTTTCGGACGGGCATCATTTCCCACGTAAAGGACAGACTAAAGAAAGCCAAAGTCGTCGCCACCGCCGCCAAATTAAAATGTTTTAAACTGATGCCTGAAAAGATACAAGTCCACCTGCACAAGGCGCTGGTGAGGCCTGTGTTGGAGTACCTACACACAACACCCATCACACTCAGGAAGACCAGACTACAACAACTACAGAGCTTCCAAAACAAGTGTCTGAGGTCAGCCAGTGGCCAAGCACCACTCTACCAGGTGACAGTGGAAACCATCCACCTGAGAAATAAAATGGAGGCCCTTAACGTCAGGTTCCATAGCCCAGGGAAGAAGGTTTGGGACAAGCCTACTGTATATTATATGCCTAATTTTCCAAAATTCGACAAATTCCCAAATCTGGTTAATTTCCCAGAAACTTAACACATGACCTGTAAAGCATTACAGTAAATACAGTTGGCATTCATGTTAAACATCTGATAAAGAAACGTTAGTCTTATGTGTAACAATCTTATGGATTTCCTTAAACCAACCTTTCTAATTTCTCCTCTTATTTCCAAAACAACTTCATCACCATTCTCTTGTTCCCATAACAGCTTGGGTTGTACACACTGTAGCAGGAGTGTCAGACAGGCAGTAAGAAGGTGGAGACTGGCTGCCTGGATCGATGGTCTTGGTGACACCAGGAGTGGGCATACAACTCTCATGATGCGACTACAATGTCCAGTCACTGTTAACTGATGCATTCCAAGAAGAATGAATTCATCCCCATCATCTTCCTCATGTATGGTTGTACCCGAGAGTTCCTGATTAAAGAAAAGATATACAGTACTGTAAATATAATTGGACTGAAGTACATATACTTATATTGTAACGAGCTTGAATTGATTTTACGTAAATTTATACCAAAACTGAATTTTCTATTGTTTTTAAATATATTTTATTATCTGACAAAATGGTGAAGCAGAAATTGTTTAGTTATCACCCTAAATGATGAAAAAAGAATAGGCCATGGGAAACCGTAGATCTCGACTGTTAAGCAAATGTTCCGATATAAATTTGAATTTTTTTATCTTCAATTGTTAAATTATCTTAAGAATTGTATGAAAAAGAATAATGATTGATGAACATTTTGAAAAGAGTGGCAAATCCTGGAATATTGTGGCTCAATGTAAACTGATTAAAGTAAGCAAATATTATATGAATACTTTGTATGTTATTGTAAAGCATATGTAATTTTCTAATTAAATACATCTTGTTATCTTTTTAAATGTTAATTTCAAGATAGATCAATAATTGTAGATAATGTTGATATAAATGACTACCTATAAATAATTAAAACTAATTTAAAAATTGTGAGATACTGAGAGGAAAGTTTGGGTAAATTTAGAGTGTATTGGTTGGGTGTACAGGCAGGGGTAGAAATTCACATACGCCCGTCCGCCTGAGGCGACCAAAATATCAGAAGGGTGAGCAGATCTTAGAAATTTACTGGTTTTTAATCGCCCGGCAGGTGACTAGCATGTCAGATTCGCAGTGTCTAGGAGCTACCCAGTAGTTTTGAACAAAAATTTATATTTTTGACAGTCTGCTTTACCATAAGCAAGTGCTTAGTGCCCATTATTTAAAAAGCATTGCAAAAGCAAACGTGTGTTGTAAGAGTGACCCCGAGTACTTGGTCGTTGCGCCCTGCTACTCCCAGGGAGTCAGCGTTCTCAGTGCAACTAATACCTCCATACACTATTGATGGGATGCCTGACTAACACACATTATTTTTAATCATCATGAGTCACCAAAGGGGACTATTTGATATGTGCAAGAATGTTAATCCAACACCAAGCAAAAAAACAAAGAAGAAAAGTTAGACCAGCAGCATCAATATGAACAATCAACAGTACATTAGATTCATATTATGGTGACACTTGGAGGAAGAAGTTTGTTGGTAGTGGTACAGATGGGGCCAGTGTTATGCCAGGTTGCAAAAATGGCTTGGTAACTCCGTTGAGTAGAGATTTAGTGCGGCCAGAGTTGGAAGGTATTCACTGCACTGCAAATAAACTTGTACTGGCTTACAAGGATGCAGTGAAGGTTGTACCACTTGCCAAGAAAGTTGACCTACTGCTGCTAGGAATATACCTATTCTATGAAAAGATTCTCTCAACAGGAGCATGTTGAAGCAGGCTAATGAAATATGTCAGCTACCATTTTTGGTTCCAACACGTGTGGGTGGTACAAGGTGGCTCCCTCATATGCTGCGGGCTTTAGAACATTTACAAGAGTTACAAGGCTAATGTACTTCACATGCAGCAGATGCAGAACCCTAATGACCCTGCATACCACAAGGACTCATCCAGAAGAGCTAAGAACTATCTAATGCTTCTAACCAGTGCTGCTGTAATCAAGTACATCCACCTCCTCCTGGTTATCTTGCGTCGCCTTGAGCGCCTTTCAGAGCAGTTTCAACACAGACAAACCAATGTTTCTGTTATCATGAATGAAATTCAGGCCTCAGTTAACTTACTCAATAAATATTTAACAAGCTCAGGAAGATTTTGGAAGGTGACACTGCCATATTCCAAGGAGAGAAGATGAGTGATAGAAATAGTGCCTTCATGGCTGCAAGACATGATATGCTGACATCTCTGATTACAGGTCTAAAAAAAAGATTTATTGACATGGCCAGTACAGTTCTACAAAATTCATGGATTCTGGATTTCAAGCTGTAGCCTGCAGAATACACAGGGAATGAAGGTTTCGGAGACACCGCTGTGGGAGCGCTGGCTCAGTCTCTTGAGAAAACACTATGGGAGGCAGAAGTGGATCCAACCAAGCTGGAGGATGTATGGACTGTACTCAAATGCTATCTTTACAAAATGAGTAAGTTATCACCTGTTCCAAAACTGTCCTGGCAGCAAATAAATGAATCATACAGAGGAAAATGTGGCTCCATTTAGTTGACCTTCTGCTGATGTTGAACGTGGTTTCAGTCAGGTCAAGCTCATCAAGACAGACTGGCGCAGTCGCCTCACTGATGACCACTTGACAAATCTCCTAGTGGTCCAGTAGCAGTCAGAATGTGCTAGCAACTTCAATCCAAAGCAAGCCATCAACAGATTTTTAACAACTGGGGCCTGCCGTGTTGATGGGTATAACTACACAGATGGCTGCAGCACAAAGGAAGTGCTGGACGATATCGAAGAATTGGACGAGGAGCATATACAGAAACTTATTGACCAAATACAGTGAAGAAGAAAGCCCTCAGTTACCTGCAGTTACATATACAAACAGTACAGTAATGTTTTAAGAGGATCTAAAAAAAATTATAAATTTCAGCTAATGATACAAAGTAAACAAGAAAACAGATTATCCATATTATAATAATATGTTGTGCACGCCAGTGTTTGCAATTTGAATATAATTTAGCTTTTGCTATTTAGTTAAATCAAGGGTCAAAGTAAACAACTTTCTATGTAGGCCTACCCAGTATATGGCAGCTATTGAAGTTTGATTTTTTTTTTTTTAATGTTTCGTAAAATTTTGGAAGGGCTAATAAACTTTGGGAAGGGCTAGTAACTATTCCGTTCTATTAGTCCGGCTGGCTACCTGAAAAAAAGGCGAATTTCTACCCCTGCAGGGCATGGTCAGGTCCAGTCTTGTAAACATGGTGATGTTTGGATTTGTGAGTCATTATAATTGCAACATAATTAGGAAGAATATGTTGGATTATAAACATTAAAAAAATATTTAGAAAATCATAATGTGAAGAAATAGAGTGAAATATTTAACAGGGTAAATTATCATTATTGGGGAGCTTGAAATGTGAACAGCAAACGAACACCAATCTTTTCAGAGCAGATTGGGTGGAAGCTGCCATTAGTATCTAAGATTTCAAGGAGAGTAGACATGCTGTAGGTCTACCTCTGAAAGATTTTAATAAATAAGTGTTAAAATAACCCAAGAGATGGTATGGTAACTGTTATTTTTGTAGTTACTGATCAATGATAGATGCAGTTAATAATATTAGAGATAAGTGAATGATATACTGTAAGTGAAACAGTAAAATTGATATAATCCTGAAAGCTGGGAATGCTGTACAGATTCCGTAGCTACTTCACTCCTGAGCAGTTGCTTCACGTTTATAAGGGATTCGGTCATCCTAACTTGGAGTACTGCACTCATATCTGGGGTGGCTCTTCTTCTGTCCAACTGTTAGATAGGGTGGAATCAAAGGCATTTCGTCTTATTAACTCTCCTCCTTAGGTGATAATCTCTCCCCTTTCTCTTTGCCGCAATGTTGCTTCACTCTCTCTTTTTTACAAGTACTTTAACTGACATTGCTCGATGGATTTGGCATCATGTGTACCGCCGGCAAGGCCTTGGGCTTGTAACACTCGTCTTGCCCGCAGTGCCCACCGTTTCTCTGTGAATGTCAGTTACACTAGAATAACCCATTATAGTGCATCCTTCTTTCCTCACACAACCAAACTGTGGAATGCTCTGCCTTCTTCTGTACTCACACATCTGTCTCACTTCAAAAAGCTGGTTTTCCAGCATCTTTGTGGTGTAGATTAATATAATATTGTTCTTTTCTGTTTTTAATTTATTGATACTCATATTTTTTCGCCCCGTTGTTGGTCAATGACCTGTGCCCAGGTGGGCTATTCCCCGAAAAAATTAAGTCATGAAAGATCAAAGCATTAATTTATTATTTAATATTATTTAGTTGAATTGTTTATTTCTGTGAATTAATTAGATACTTAAATGATTCTTCTGTACAGAGAACATCAGTGAATTAAAGTTAATTATTATTATATAGATTAGGTACTGAAAATATTAATTATTATCAGGGGTTTATGTGAGCAGCAGATTTAATTGTGGAGCTGTTTATGTGGGGAACAGTTTTATACTTGGAGCTGTTTCTGTGCAGAGAAGATTTAACTGTGTAGCAGTTTAATTATGGAGCAGTTTTAATTGTGCAGTTGTCAAAAAGTAAAACTTACCAGTAATGCAGGCAAAGAATGAAGCATTGTAGTAGATGAGAGGCATGGTAGGTAATACAGGGGAAAGGTAGGTGATGCAGGGGAAAGGTAGGTGATGCAGGAGAAAGGTAGGTGATGCAGGGGAAAGGTAGGTGATGCAGGGGAAAGGTAGGTGATGCAGGGGAATGGTAGGTGATGCAGGGGAAAGGTAGTTGACGCAAGTTATGGACAGGAAATGCTACATAAACAGTAAACAGTGCAGCAGAAATGTATACAGTACTACTGCAATTTGGTCACTTATACAAAATAAGGAATAAATTTCAACAAAAATAATTGTTTCCTCTTATGTATAATTCAATTCTGAATATGTAAATAAACACGTAACTTATATCACTAAGGATATTATAGTCCACCCTAGTAGAACCGTTCTCTTCATTACAGACCTAAGAGTAAATATTAAAATACTCTAATGTAACTTAGAAATAAAGAAAATATAATGAATATAATGTGTATGTGTTGCACACAGGGTGGTGCAATGCATCTCGTAAGGCAACATTATGTTAGTGTTAAGGTGCAAGCACTTCTTGCTCCCTCTCGCTTTCAGCTGCTGCCGCTGGCTAGCCCTCGTGGCGAACAGGGAAGCAACTTGCATAAGTCTTCCCCTACCAGTACACAGTCTCCTCACCATCAAGACTCTTGCTGTGCCTCCTCGTGGCAGCACACGGTAACTGGGTGCCTCGTGAGCCCAGCCTAAACCAGCAGGAGATCTCGGAATAGCAGTGGACCCCAGAGGGACGGCGCATATGTCCACTGGCATGTGGACACGTTCTGGCATCCACCAGCCATTGCCCTGCTGCCTTGCGGATTAACCTTGGTAGGTATAAGGCTACGGGAGTAAACCCCGAACAAAAAATCTGCGGCGGAGCCCTGCATCAGGCAGACATGCTTGCAGACCTCCAACAAGACCCCAACGGCAGTATAAACGGAAGAGGTGACCACCATGGAAACCCAACGACTACACCAGAGGACGAAGGCAATACCTGATGGACAGGCTACTTAGGCGAAACCCAACAAACTGGGCTATTGGCAGTCCATTGCAACTTTACCTCTCCCCAGTCGTTGCAACACTTGATTAGGAAAAGGGAGAGCCAAGATGTGTGGTTGCAATCTGCACTCTTGCCTCACCACATAAATCAACTCACGTGCAGCCATCATGTAGCTCATCATACCACTCATCATCATCAAAACCCTATACCCCCAAAAGTCCTATGACGATGGACGAGTGGAGACGGGGACAAGCAGGGATGACTGCCGGAAGTCTCTAGTCACAACTCTGCACATGGGCGGCACAGATAAGATGGTCATTTATGCACTGGGTTCTAGGCAGCAGTGCAATCCGGTCCTGTCTGTGTGACTGAGCAGCCCTTTCAAGGAGCCACTCTGCTCACCCCACACGGGAAGGGGGCAAGAAAAGGTGCCCTAAACATATTCTGCCTAAAAACCCAACCTGACCAGGCAACCACACCCAGTAAGGTCATCCTAATGGTCAAAAACACAATTAAAATCACAGATCCAAACAAACACAAACCATACAACCTCTTTTGGTCGCTGCATGGAATGTCAGGACCCTACTGCATACTGGCACAAATGAGCATCCTGAAAGAAGAACTGCCCTTGTGGCTAGGTATAACATCAACATAGCAGCCATTAGTGAGTCCTGGCTCCCTGATGGGGGCCAACTCACAGAACGTTCATCTAAGAAATCACACCAAAAGGCATAATTGTAAGACTTACTAGGCAATGCAAACCTCACATCCATTGTTTACCTTGGGTGTCCGTGTAATAACTGCCTCGACAGGTGCGGGGCAATCTATGGCACAGAAGCAATTACTTATGAAGTCACTCCCTGAACCTCTACCTAGTACAGTAGCTAAAAGGACATTCGGGATGAAAGCAGCAAGAACTGGATTTTAATGCCTGCTGTGTTAACTGGTGTACAACGGTTACATAGCCGGGAACTAACTAGAATCACAGTACAATTGCCAAATGTAAGTAAAGGAGCAGATGTTGTGTGTCTGACTGAAAGGCTTGTCACTTGGGTCTACCTTAAACACAGTGAGATCAGGTAGTCTCACAGATGTACTCATTCTCAATAGTACTGCGGGACTTATAACTTTAAGAAAGGGATGTTGTTTAGGTAACTTCCTTCTTTACGACAAAGCAGTCATCGCGGAACCAATAGAATTACCATTAGGTAGTGTAACACAAGTGGAATCGACCAAAATCCATGTATTGTAGATAAAGCAGCGTTAATATCGCCACGCATGCAAGAAGTCGATCGTCCTCAAGGCAAATGTGATCTTTTAGAATTACTAGCAGAGTTCAAGGAAATCATAGCATTAGCTGGAGAACCCCAAAGTTTAGGGCCGCATTAACAACGGTGCCCGAGGGGCCCTTGTGCTTGCAAATATTTGTTAAAATAATTATAATAATAATAGTAATAATAATAATAATAATAATAATAATAATAATAATAATAATAATAATAATAATAATAATAGTAGTAATAATAATACAGTAATGTAAAATTTGCAGCATAAATAGTAAATGTTTGCAGTACTGTATTGTATAAGGACACATTATATTATTTATATTAGTAATAGTACTAATAATTATATATGCTGGTATTTCTCAGTTTGCACTATCTTTTATTCTAAATATGAATGCTAGTGCACACACCCCGGAGCAGAAATAGGCCACATCAACAGTCACTCGTTCAGTCTCATTGTATTCACGTTCAATCGCCACATACCTGCATGGGTGTGCTGTGGACGTGAAATTAAATGTGATCACCCGCCTTCAGAGAAGAGTGTGTGTGTCAGAGGTTGGCCGCATGCTTGGTTTAAGTGAGAGTACTGTTCATACCCTGTACGGTATATAATGGTTCCCCTAACCTGTACCATTTACATGTATTCTTACGGGAAAATTATGTTTAATTTACGAGTTTCTGAATTAAGCGGTGGTTTTCAAGAACATAACCCCTGCGTAAAACGAGAGGAGGGTACGAAACCTAACAAATCACAATATCTGATAACCAATTAACATATGAAAGACTAAACAAACAGCATGTAAAACTGCTACATAACTTACCTGTGCCACATTACTAAGAGAGCCACTCTTATCCTGTCCATCTCCCAACTGCCTTCTACTCTTTCCCTTGGTAAGGTGACTTAAGCTCTGCATACAGTCACCTTGTGAGGAGCAGCAGCTGCCTCTGGTTGTATCTGTGTTTGGAGTGGCCAATTCTGAAGATGTTGGTGTTGTTATCTGTGGGTTGGTATTGCTTTTACTAACAGATTTAGTTAATCCTTTGGAATAATGTTTCTACCTCAGTGATCATTAACAATAACAGTAATCTCTGAAATATTGTATACTGTCCCAAAGTTACCAATTTATTTACCCAAATGTGTAAATATTTTCTACAGTCAATAAGATACATATTGCCAAAAATCTGGAGTTCTGCAAACATTCATTACTTTTCATTACACAGCACAGTATATATGATAAACCTTGTATAAAAAGACATATTAGCAACACATTCAAAATATACTATAATACAGTAATACTGATTGTTCTTTTATCTGACTTATATTTACAATGATTTGTCTAGAACAGTAAAAATTCTGGTCCCACATTTACTTGGGAGGATTGGTGTTGATGTTTTTGGGACCAATGAATCAAACCTGCCCACAATGTCTAAAACAATTAATGGTGCAATAAAACAATGAATCATATACTGATATTCATATGGTGGATTTATGATGGTACCGGTTAAGTGAATGACAAACATTGTTACCATATTGGGATAAAGGAAGCAAACAGCTACAGGCTGTTACCATTCTTCTAATATTATCCTAATTGAAACATGTTAGCAGAATGGTTGCTTGTTGATCCTTCATATACTTTAAAACTTTATATTATCAAGACACAATAAAATAGTTGAAATTCTGATACAGGAAAAAATGTTCGTGAAGTACAGTATGTGTGTGTATGGCAAGAATAGTACCCATAACACTACTGTATTAACAAAATTGTCATTCTACAAAAAAAAATTGATTTTCAAATATCCAAGAGAATAATGAATTACACATTGGAGTCAATATAAATGCATATACAGGCAACCCTCGGGTTGCGGAAACTCTGGTTACGGAAATTTGCTCTTACTGATTTTGTAAATTATGACCCATATACAGTGGTCCCTCGGTTAACGAACGCCTCAGTTAACGAATTACCTTCCATAAGAATCTTCATTTCGGTTAACGAACAAATATTGGGTTAACGAAATTCTTATGAAAACGTGTCAACATGTTTTGGCTTGCTCACCAGCTGGAAGATTAGTCCGCCAATACAGTAATTGGTTCAAGGGCTTATATTCGTTTCCATTGAGTAAATATCAAGACGGTTGTGTTATTCAATATTTTTCCAAGTTTTATATTAAAATTATTTGTCATTTTAACACTTATTTAACATAATTGCAGTACAGGGAACTAGTTTTTGGTGCGCCCATCAGCCACTTCACTCACCCACCAAGGCGTCAGTTTGTGTCTGTTCAGTGGAGGAAACATCTTGCTTGTGGGTCTCTTGAACACAGAGTATTTTTATGTTTTTACAGTACAATTATTGGTCATTCTGAAATTTAATTAACATATTGACAATATATAGCACAGTGCAGCGTTGATTTAAAAAAAATAATCTTGAATAAGACCTAGTCAACTTAAAATTTTATTGGTGAAATGACTGCATCAAGCATGGGTCCCCTGTATTTCTTCTACATCCCCACTTCCTTCTCTTCTGCCTTCTCCTCCACCCCCACTTCTAATTCCCATCATCATCATCAACCAGGAGCCTTCTACATACACTCAAAGTAAGTGTACTTTACTGCATTTTGTTTTTACAATCAGTTCTGCTATAACGCGATAGTTGTGTTCTTGTAAAACATCGTGTTATAGAAATTCGCGTAATAGAAATAACAGGGCTTATGGAGAAAATAGGGTTAGGTGCAGATTACTCGAAATCGAAAAAAATTTCGTAGTTAGCCTAACACAAAGGATAGCACAGTCTAAATAAATGTTACATTCATATCTAATAATGAAATCATACAGTAAATGTTACACTTTACCTTGAAAAAATATGAATATAACTTGATGGGGGAGAAGGTTGATGTTGAGGTGTCATGCAGACAGGATTTGACAGTTGTCAAAAAAACAACAAAGCCGCGGGAAATTAAGGTTTGTTTACATCTGGCAGTTCGGCTGCTCTCTCTCTCTCTCTGCTTGTCTATACAGAGTACAACATTTAACCCTTCAATATATATGAGCAGTAAATAAGCGTTGCTTTCATATTCTTATGTTTTCACATGTGCGCACTTACATACGCGCAGTCTCACCTTTTTTTTACCATTAATGGTTAGCTACTTATATTGTTCCATTTAATAACATTAAATAACATTACAGGTACAGTCAACCCTCACTTTACGCGGTTAATTCAACCCACAGGGTACCGCGGAAAGTGAGAAACGCGTAAAGTGAACAACATAACATATGGGATTAATTGAAATAGAGACCGGGCCGACCCCCAAACTCCACTTTTTGACGACACACAACTATGTTGTAGTAAAAATATTATCTTAACTTTATGATGGTATGCACACACAATTAATAATTAAGAGAAATATCAATAATATTAGGTTTTTTAACACTTACATTAGTAGAAAAGATGGCTGGGCACACGGGGATGGGGGGTTGGTTCCGAGGCAAGGGCAGATTATTGGCCCTCACCTGTATCACTTGTATCAATTGTATCACTATCCACCACAGAGGCTTGCAGGGCTTCTTTGTCAAACCCCTCAAAGTCCATATAAGTCCATATCCTCACTATAATTATCACTATCACTGACTTGGGCCGGCTGTGGTGGGTGGCGGGTGAAGAACTCGGTAATGTTTTGATGACTGGGCGACCTTGTGCGCACCATGTTCGCGCAGCTTACACAACATGGCGGATGGCGGGAGGTTTGGATCCAAAAATGGCGCGGCTCGCCAGCCGCTCTCCGCGTAAAGGGGTACACGCTCCGCGGAATGTGAGCATTCCTGTTTCGGCAGGGTACCGCGTAAACGTGGAAACGCGGTTGACTGTACTTCAAACAACCATATTAATTTTTTTACATTAATATTACTACAGCTACAATCGGGGTCTTATTTTCTTGTTTTATATGTAGAACTAATCAGTCACTGGTTTTGAAAGCTTTAACATAAACAATGCCGGCAGCCATCTCGTCTTCTCGTGTGTTTTAATATTCCACGTATTATTAATAAATTGTATTGTTAATTTTGCACACACAAACATTAATTCAATAAAAACAAATTCAGAAACATTAATTAAAATATATGTGAACAGTAAATAAGTGTTGCTTTCATATTCTTATATAAAGTAATGAAAATATGTTTTCACGTGTGCGCACTTACATACGCGATCTCTCTTTTTTCTTTACCATTATCGTTAGCTACTTCTATTGTTCCATTTATTAACATTAAATAACATTACTTAAAACAACCATATTAATTTTACTACAGCTACAACCAAGGTCTTATTTTCTTCAGTTTTATATGTAGAACCAGTCAGTCACTGGTTTTGTAATCAACGAAAACAATGCTGTCATTTCCTCGTGTGTTTTAATACTCTACGTATTATTAATGAATTGTAAAGCTCATTTTGCAAACATAAACATTAATTCAATAAAAAAGACTTTCAGTAATAAACAATAATGAATCTTTTGTACACAAGAGAAATGATGCTGTTTACACAATTATGCACGTCGTCTACACATTGGCAGGCCATTCAAACCCGTCGAAATTCAAGTTTCAGCCGTCAAATTTTTTTTTTTTTTTTTGTGTGTGTTCCAATAAAATACGTTGAATTAAAAACTCGCGAAATTTGAGAAGTTACTATATGACATTTAACCCTTCAATATGTCTTCAAAGAGACCATGATGCAGAGAAAATGGTGCTAGTGCTTCCAAGCATAAGCACAAGTCACTATCTATCCAGGAAAAGGGTGAATTTCCATGGTCCGGCAATTTCCATGGTCTGGCACCGGTCAGGTCCCGAGGCTGCTGGACTAGAGAGGTACAACCTGTACCCAATATTCCATTGAAACAATGGATTCAGTTAACGAAATTTTCGGTTGACAAACGACCTTCTGGAACGAATTGTGTTCGTTAACCGAGGGACCACTGTACTGTGTATGAGAAACTTAAGTCACAATACTGTACAGTAGACTCGCAACTTAAGCTTATTTTTCTTACGTGGTTTCAACTGATCACACAACAGTCGCACCGAAACACCACAGTCAAGTCTTCTCAAGAGTTCCACCTTATCTTGTATTGATATGGACTGGTGCTTATGATTTACACCACTACTGACACTTGTACTTGCCTTTGAAGCCATAGCTGGGGTTAAATATGTGCAAAATAAACTAAGAATCACACAAAATCAAGGAGCTACCACCAGCAACTGCAGAGTAAACAAAGTGAGCGCGGTTAACACGTAACGCCATCTGTGGCAGCCCAGTAAACTAATATGGAGGTCACGGGAATTTCAAGTGCCCTTTCGTAATTTTGTCCAGATTAAAAGAGGTGCCGGACCATCCGTTCCCGGAAAATCGGTGGTGGACCTGTACTTAAATGATGAATCGTTCAGTGTGGACGAGTAATGAGCGAAACTGCTCGAGGTAACCACAGACCATCCGAACCAACGTATTTCATTCCAAGAACAGTAACTATGGTGGACACTCGTAACACACTTAAACTGGTGAGTGTAAATTGAACAGTCATGGCTTAAATGAGATCTCTAACCTTCTAGGCAACTGTTGCACCACATCGCCTTTCTTGAGGGTGGCAGTGTGATACGAAGGGAAAGGTGATCGGTATACCAAAATAGATTAACAGATTACCCCTGGCTAGTACCAAGGAGCACTTCAATAGGGTTTAAGAAGCTCCTTAATAAATTGTTTTATTTTACAAGAGCTTCCTAACTTATAGGTATTAGCTAGAAATATGGAAAAGATACATCATGTCATATACAGTACTAACCTGTTCTTCTCCTGGTGTTAGATGTGGATCTGTGAAATGTTTAACTCGAGTGCTGACCAGTTGAGTCAAGGTCAGTAAGCAATTACATGCTGGGCCTTGTACACGCCACGCATTCTCTCCTTCCTCCTCTATACACCCATAAACAGCCTGTGTGAAAATATTCTGATTAACCTGACAGTTATTCTTTTCATCATTATAAATTATTCATCATTAAAACAAATTCTCAATGTAATGGGAACCCCTGCACTAATTATCACATTACAGTGGTCCCTCGATTAACAAACACAATTGGTTCCACAGAGTAGTTTGTTAACCGAAAATTTGGTTAACTGAATCTATAATTTCAATGGGATATTGAGTACTGGTTCCAACTCACAGAAAAAGTACATACGAAGAACTGTATACCGGTAATAGAATTAACAAAACATTAAATAAAAACTAAATACAGTACTGTACAGTATACAGCCACTCCTCGACTTACGACCACCCGGACATACGACCGCCCCAGTCGTACCAAAATGTTTTCAAATTACGTATTTTCGAGTCCCGACGTTAGTGATTGCGCTGTGTACTGACAAAATTTTTTTTTGTAATTCCCTTTTAAATGGCTGGCAAGCTTAAAAGTGAGAGTTTTGCGGTGCTGAGAAGAAAAAGAGACACCCATTTTAGATTTTCTATGTATGTATTATTTTCACATTTTCGACTGACGACCAATTCGACTTACGACCTGGATTTGGGTCCCTAACCCCATCGTAAGTCGAGGAGTGGCTGTACTGTATAATAATAAATAAAAAGCAATAGAATACTATATTTTAACTTACTTTGAGGTGGGTATGTTGTATTCCCGGCAGCTTTGTTTACATAGCAATCAGCTGATTGTAGAGGCAGTCGATGATAACATGCCATATTCTTTAGAGTGCATTGGTTCTAATGCCTTCTTCATGTTTCATAATAATTTCTGCACTGTATATTTTCAATATGTGAACAAAATTTCAGAATGACCAATAATTTTAATGTAAAAATGCAAAAATATTTCAAGAGACCAACAAACTCGATGTTCACTCCACTGTAAACAAAGTTAAACTGAGAAGAGTTGGTGGGTGATTCGATCAACTGATTGGCACACAAAAGCTGTTCCCTGTACTGTATATATTATTAATATGTTAACTAAATTAGAATGACCAATAATTTTAATATGAAAATGAAAAAATATTCAAGAGCACAACTTTCTTAATATTTACTCACTGGAAACGAATGTAAACATAGAACCAATTACTGTACATTGGCGGACTAGCCAATCAGCTGATGCTCGCAACAAAGCGTGTTTCTCGTAAGGCTGTCGTTAATCAAAGTTTTGTTCGTTAATAGAATTTAAAATCCTTATGGGAGCTAATTCGTGAACCGAAATTTTGTTAATTGGACCGTTCGTTAATAGAGGGACCACTGTAATATGCAAGTCCACCAGTCAGAAAAAGCCAATTATCCGTATCTTCCAAGGGAAATTTAGTAGAGTATTTTGGAAGAAACCTTTGTGTGCATTTTCCTCCTTTAGCCATAGTTTTCTTAAAATAATATATACATAACCAGGAAATGCAATGAATAATTAAAAATAATACAAAAAAATAAGTTGCAACAAAAAATACCGTAAAGTAAAATCTTGATGATATGAGTAGATACATTCCTTGGAGTCAGCTCGTACAGCAAAAAACTCATATAACGGAGGGAATAATACATGGGTTAAATAGGGATGCTTTCCCAAGCACCAAGTATAGCGATGAATGTAAATAAATGCGATTCAGTACAACCTGACAAACTGGGATAGCATATTCAAACACTGAGAGAAGGGAGAGGGGGGGGGGGACGGGGGGGAGGTTGGGTATGGGGTGTGCGGCCTGGCTGAGTGGCTCACAAACACATTTCTGCACATCTATGTCATGAGAGACATCACAGACCATGTCTCTGCTTGTTCCGCCTACTCAGCTGGGTAAACTGAGCAGCACTGTAGCCAAGTTAGACTCCTCACAGCAACCACCAGGCTACTGGGCCAAGCCTGGCAAGTTAATGCTAGGTATTTACATATTTGTATTTTCGGGTAGATACATGTAAATTTCTTCATTTACATGCACACACCATTCTAAATACATAATGTGAAAAAAAGTAAAAGAAATTATTGTCCAAGTCAATTCAATGACTTTTATAAACAAAAAATTTGAACTCCCTCTGACTGATAAATATGCACTTGGTTACCTTCACTACCTGGCTATCAATACCTCACCTAACCTCTTCCCACATCCTCCCAGCAGGGGCAGCATCTTTCCAGCGTTGGTGCTTGTTTGTGGTCAAGCTAACTCGAAAGCATTGACTCCTCGTGTGCTGCTCCTCCAAGCGCTATGGTGTGGAGTGATTGTCTCCCAAGTGAGAGGGTTGATTTGTCACTTTTATTCAGATTTGTCTTAAGACTATCCTCATACCTTTTCAGTTGCCCACCAGCGTTACGTTTACTATTCGTTAGGTGACTGTAAAGTAGTTGCTTTGGCAGTCTACTGTCATCCATGCGGGTAACATGGCCATTCCAACGTAGTTGTTCATGGATAATGGTAGCCTCAATGCTCCTACAGTTGGTGTCAGCGAGAATAATAGCATTTATTCCCTTATCTTCCCAGAGAACTGCCAAATAGCAGGGTGGGAAGGACCACTGCTCGATATACGTGAAAATTTGTAGATAATTTCAGCTCCCTACAGCTGAAGACATGGGTACAGTCTGCCAAAGGCTTGAGATGCAAAACTGATCCGATGCTGAATCTTTTCATCAATGTCCACGGCAATGGACAGGTGGAAGTCGAGATACTGAGATAATGGGAGGGTAGTACAGTTAAGCTGGATGGATGGTGGAGGTGTGGCTGAACCAGGGGCAGGCTGAAAGAGAATCTCAGTCTTACATACATTCTCCTCAAGGCTGAAGAGCATATACGCATCTGTGTAGGTGTTCAGGCTCTTCTGTAGGTTGCGTTCAGTGTAACTGACAAGGATGAGGTTGTCTGCATACTGAAGTTCAGTAATGGAACCTGCCAACACCTTTGTTCCTGCCTGGAGTCATTTTATGTTGAAAAGACCCTTCATCCAGTACTGGCACAAGTGAGGAAGGCAGCCAAGAAAATGGGAAAGAGAGTTTTATCCCCCTTTGAATGGAGAAGAGCTCAGTCTAGGTGCCATTGTACAGGACACTGCAGTTCATACCGTCGTGGAGTTGCCTTACAATGGCAATGAATTTTGGTAGGCAGCCAAAACGGTTGAGGGTCCGCCAGAGGGCTTCCCTGTTGACCGAGTCGAAGGCGTTGGTTAGGTCGATGAAGGCCATGTACAGGTCACAATGCTGTTCTCTGCACTTTTCCTGTATCTGGCGGGCAGCAAAGATCGTGTCAGTGGTGCCAAGTAATGATCTAAAGCCACATTGAGATTCTGGGAGGAAGTCTTCCACCTCAGGAAGAAGTCTGTTTAGGAGGACTCGGGCAATAATATTGCCAGCTACGGACAGCAGCAAGATCTACCGGTAGTTGTCACAGTCTGACCGGTCTCCCTTGTTCTTATAAATATTAAAGAGCTTGGGGGATCTCCTCCTTTTTCCATATATTCTCGAGGAGAGAGTGGAGACGGCTAGTAAACAGAGGTCCTCCTGCTTTGTACACCTCAGCTGAGATTCCATCAGGCCCCGAGGGTTTGTTATTTTTCATCTGTTTGATGGTAGTTGCTACCTCATCCAGGGATGGAGGATAGCTGGGTCAGCTCTGGATGCTGAGGGAGTCAGGACATCCACATTGGTGTTTCGGTTGAGCAGCGAAGGATGCCTTCTTCATCTTTAATTAGGGAATTACCATCGGATGAGTGGAAGGAAGCTGCGCCATAAGTGATTGGACCATAAAATGTTTTAGTGGAATTGAAAATTCACGCATCCTGTGTTGTTCGGCAAGTTTTGGAGTTTCACATGTTTTATTTTCAAACCAGTCATTCTCTGGATTGTGAAGTTTGCACTGAGCCCCCACTTTCTTCTTGTGGAAGGTATCAGCTTCAGTCAGAGACTGAGGGTTGTTCTACCATTCAGTTAAATAAGCATGTTTATCATCGATGAGTACATCGATTTCTGGGCCATTTTCATCAAACCGGTCCTTGTGTATTCTTTCGACATGGCTGAGGGTCTCTCTGCAGGTTTATGTCATGACAGTGTCAAGAATACCCCATTCGGCACTGGGATTTGGGTTGTTTGCTGTCAGGTTGTTTATTAGCCCATGGTCAAGCTGCTCTCTGAAAGCATGTGCTACCGCTGGATCCTCCAAACGCTTAGTGTTAAAACCTCTTCTGGAGACTTGTTGTTTTCGCTGTTTTGGGGTAATGTGAAGTGAGAACTTGGCTCTGACGAGCTGATGACTAGTGTCACAGTGGTCTGAGCCATGCACGGCTCGGGTGATGAGAACATCTCAGCAATCCCCTTCTCTAACAATGATGTAGTCAATGAGATCATGGGTGTTGCCACGAACCCTTGAACTTGTCAGCCTGCCTAAACAAGGTATTGGTGATAGTGAGGTTGTGTGTGTATAATATGGACATGAAGTAGTACCTTAAGCTGTGTATTCTTACATTACTCTATTAATTATGTATAGTAAGGTATTACAGAACATGTATTAATCCTATGTAATATTTCCATTTATTATGCACCATGTTATGTATGTGAATTATCATATTTACATACTATGTATTCAGCTTGTGAATGCTGGCATCTGTACATGCCAGCGCGGAGTGATACAGAGAGTTGAGATCGCTAGTCCTTATGGTGTGGAAGCCCACGTCTATTTGTTTCCTCTGTATATCTCCCGTACGAGAATAAGAACCTATTTTCAAGATAACAAGTGTTTGTGTATACCCTCAGTAGTGTAGAACATTTTGGGGGTATCAAAGACAAACATAGAGTGTGCAGCACACTTGCTGAGGAGGAGTAGGCTATTGGGATTACACTCCCCTAGTCCATTTCTCCCCACGGTTCCTTGCCAAATGTCAGCCAACTCTGGCATTGAAGTCACCAAGGAGCACAACCTTATCTTCTCTAGGGTTAGAGGTTAGCACTCTGTCAAGGTTAGCGTAAAAGGCCTCCTTGA